CTCCTCCCCTCCTCCTCTCCTCCCTCCTCCCTCCCTCCTCCCTCCTCCTCCTCCCCCCCTCCTCCTCCTCCTCCTCCTCCTCCTCCTCCTCCTCCTCCTCCCTCCTCCTCCTCCTCCTCCTCCTCCTCCTCCTCCTCCTCCTCCTCCTCCTCCTCCTCTTCCTCCTCCTTCCTCCTCCTCCTCCTCCTCCTCCTCCCTCCCTCCTCCCTCCCTCCCTTCCCTCCCGCCTCCCTCCTCCCTCCTCCCTCCTCCTCCCCCTCCCCTCCTCCATCCTCACTCCTCCCTCCCTCCTCCTCCACTCTCTCCTCCACCTCCTCCTCCACCCTCCAGCTCTTCCTCCTCCTGCCCCTCCGCCTCCTCCTCCCCCTCCTCCTCCTCCCCCTCCTCCTCCTAGTCCTCCTCTTCCAGGTGACCCGAGCCACCGCCTGGTTTCTGACCCCCGCTTCGGATTTTCTGAGGGGGGGGGAGGGACCCCCTGGTTTCTGACCCCTCCTGGAGAAAAATCTCACCCCAGCGATGGTGGATCGCGCTCCCTCTCCTTCGTGGGTTCCGTACCCGAGGCGCCCATGCCGCCCAAATAGATCGCCCATGCTTCGATCCGCGGCGCTGATCCTGGCAAATACAGGAGGGCGTAGACACCGGTCCAGTCGGGAGGAAAACAATGTGACAGGCACAAATACATGCCGATGCCCAGGAATATAAGAAAGCAGAAGGGAGGAGAAACATTCAAAAATTCAAAGCAAATAGTTGGAAACAAATTGAATATGTGTAAAGTGGATTTGCTTGTGTCTCCCTGGGCCCCCTCATCCTCAGCTTAGGACGGGCCTGTCCAGGCCTGGTGAGGTGGACCCACGCCTCCCAAATGGGGTCGACGCAGATGGTATCGGTGGATCGTGCCACGTCGTCGATGCATCGGCAATGCGGTTGGATGTGGATCCCGATGTTCCTTACGCCGACGTCAACGATGCATTGCCGACGTCGCGGATGTGTCGCCGATGCATCAGCGATGCGGCACCATCCACCGACCCATCCACTTCGACCATCGGCGGCCTTCGAGAGATTCGGTGGATCTCATCCGGGGGGTTGCGCGGAGGGCCCCCATGAGTGGCACACGCGCCCTGGGCGGGGGGATCGCTGCCTGCTCCCGCCAGGAGTTTTTCCCGGCATCCGAATTACTTCGGTGAGATCCTGCAGTGGTGGTGCGCGTGGGCGTTCGCGTTCTCCAGCGGCACCGGCACGGACGACTGGCTGTGGTGGGCGTGCAGCGTGTCCCCCCTGTTCACGATGCACATCCTACTCAACCTGCCGCCCACAGGCCCAGACGCTCGCCGAGCGCGTTCCACTACTCGCAAAGTGCCGACTCGCAAACGTCCGAACAAACCCACTGTCGCCTCGATGTAATTCAGAGCGTGAATTACCTACCCCGCTTTCGCTTCCAGGCAAAACCAAGCCATACCACGCGCCTCCTCGTCAAGCGGCCTGACCAGCGCAGGCCGTAGTTTTTGGCACCGTTTGGCGTCTCTTGGAAGCGAGGGTGGTCAAAAGCGAGGTAGGTTTGTTTTCCCCCTAGTCTCGTAGGTCCCCCACAGCGGATCCAAGGCCACTTGCGAGCAGTGACCTTTTGCGAGCAGCGGAGCGCGCCTGCCCAGACGCGCTCCGCGCCAGCGCTTCGGCCGTGGAGGCTCGAGGGTCGAGGTGCGGGGGCCGAGGTCTTTGGGCGCTCTGGTGGTGTTGGGACCTCCGGTGGCGCCCTCGCGGCCGCGGTTGAGTCGGGCCTGTCCCTCTGCAGGAGGAGTACTCCAGAACAGTAAAAGACAGTCAGGGGACGATTTGTTTATTTTTGCATGTCTGGAATATGCTTCTGGTACTTCTTTATGGTTCGCCCAAGATCCGCCTGTAGAGGGGGACATGCCCGACCTGAGGCCACGGCCAGATCCGCTTCGACATCATGGCAAGAACAGGCCCCAGGAGGGGCCCTGGTTCTGCTCGCGACGTCCAGTCCTTGTCTGCCCTCCTCAGGGCAGGCAAAAAGGGGAGGGGTCAGCGAAAGGCGGAATCTGCTGCAAGCGGCCGGTTTCGGCCCCGCCGCTGGGCGCCTTCCTCGATACATGGGGGCATCTGGAGCCGAAGGGCGCCAGAAAAAATAGCTCCGGGGCCTGGAGCTGTTTTTTTCCAGAGCCCTTCGGCTCCAGGATCGGAACTGGAGCCGGAACCGGTCAAAAAACGGCGACGGAGCCGGTAAAAAAACGGCGTCGGAACCGGCAAAAAAACGGCAAAACGGAACGGGTAAAAAAACGGCCCTGTGGTTTCCAGGGCCCACTAAGCTCCAGGCAGCCCCGGCACGCCCCGTCGAATCTTGTTTGACACATGGCGTTGTTAGCGGTGGCCCGTTGCCCGCATGTGTCAAGATGCATACGAGGGCATCGTATACGTATCATGTGTTTGCGCGCGCATATTCGGCCCGATGCACTGCAGGCCGATCCGTCGGTCACATCGACTGTTCAGAGTTGCCCGAGGGCCGCTTGAACGTACGAGTGCGCGTGCATCTGGACGTTCGCCAGAGGAGTGTCACCGCTCGGCACGCGCGCGCGCAGGCACAAGGACCTGTGTGTCGGATCTCGCGTCGTTGTGCGTGGTTGTCCAGAGGAGTATGACGTCGTAATGGTGATATGACTCACGATTTCCAAGGCCTCCAAAAAAACCCAGGATTGCAAAAAAAAACTGGATTTCAAAAAAACAAAAAAAAAAAAAAAAAAAAAAAAAAAAAAGTTGTTCAGAGGAGTATGACGTCGTAATGGTGCTATGACTCACGATCTCCAAGGCCTCTGGGATGTCCTTTGGTTCCGCGCGGTCTCCAGAAGCGAGGGCCGCTAGATGCTCCAGAATTCCTGGAACGCATACTCCAGATGTCGTAATAAAAGGGAGGGGGTCTGGACCCTCCAAGACAAGCGATTTCAGACCTCCCCCGTGGGAGAACCCTCCAAAACATCGTCCCCAGACCCCCCCAGGCCCTCCAAGATAGCCTGGAAGAGACCCCCCCCCGAAATGAGACCCCCTCCCTTTTATTACAAAATCTGGAGTATTGAGCCAATCGCATCACGACATCATCCTCGTCCTAGTCGTGGCGGATTCTTCACAGGACGTAGTTTTGACGTTAGCCCCCAACTCTGGAAACCTACGTAGTGACCACCTTCTGGACGCTGTAAAGAGGCTGATTGAGACCACTCTGGAGGAGAGAAGCAGTATCGCCAGCCCCATTCGTGCATGGGTTCCTCGTTGTGACACCTTCCGTGTTGTTGAGCGTTGTTGCCAGCAGGTCGCGTCTTGGGACAAAATGACATTCACCGTCGCAAGAGAAGCTGGGATGACTTTGCACATACGTAAGACGCCCCCTTCGACAGGCATCTGCAATGCCGAGGGGAAGAACCTTGCGCGCTACTACCAGAACTGGCCCGATGAGTATGCCAAGTACAGAGAGAACACATCAATCCTCATCCCTATGATCGGCTACCGTTTCATTCCTCTGGCACTGAAGCGAATGTTTTTCTTTGAATTTTCGAAGTACGAGTACAGGCCAGATGGCAACAGGAAGGCGGACTAGTAGGACTAGCGAGCACTGTCCGCTTGGGCTGATTCCTACCCCGCCAAACAGGTGTCATGGAGGAAAGCAGGGTGCAACGTGTCCCGTCGTAGCTGTCCGTGGCATCCGTGCAATCGATGACCCCTTCGACGGTCATCTACCAGAGTGGCGTTAGTGACGCTGCATTCGACAGCACAGCCGGGCATGAGCCGATGTTTCCGGATTATTTTCGATCTGAACGGTCCGATTCGATATCGATTCCAGCCAGATCGACCCGATTCGATTCCGAAGATCCGATGCGGCCCGATGTTTGCATAGCGTTCCTGCAAATCTTGGCGCAGCTCATCCGATTCGATTTCGACTCTGTGCCGATTCAAGCCCAGCCCGATTCAACACGTGTTCCGATTTGACCCAAGTTCGTGAGTATAGTTTGCTTGATGTTGTACCCCGATTTCGCTTGACGCAGCTCAGCTGGGGGAAGCTTCGTTGGAACTGCGTGGGAGGAGGAGCAGGGCGCGGAAGGAGGAGGGGAGAGGGGGGGGGGATCCCCATCTAGGGATCGTTTCGATTCCTCCGATTCGATTCGATTCGATGTCGATGGATTCCGATTCCGATTCGATTCGACTTTGGATTCCGATCGGGATTCCGATCTCTCCATGAGGCATTGCTGCTCCGCCGAGTTCGGCCGATCCGACTTCTCCCGACTGGGCTGCCGATTTTTCCGCCGATCCGATTTCGTTTCGATCGCCGATCCGACTTATCGATTCGACTCCGGGCTCCCCCGCCATCCCTGGTGGGGTCAGGCCAGGGCCGATTGGCGCGCCGGGGGGGCCGCGCGCGCCACACACAGAGGAAGACACGGCACCGTCGAGCAGGGGCGAGGCGTCCCCCGGCTCGCCTACGGCCCCACCAGACAGTCGGGGGCGGAAGAGAGGGGGGCTGATGGCTAAGGGGGGGGGGGATATCATGGCGGGGGCCACGATATTTCCCCAGATCTCGTGGCGCCTCTTCTTATCTCACTACGTCCCTGGCCCCCTCCGCTGGGCCGCGCACGTGCCGCCGGTCGTGATCTGCACCCCGCCCTCTTGGACACCCCCCTCTTGGCCGATCCCGATGTCTTGTGGTTCCCCCGAAATGTTCTTAGAGCATGCCTGGCTAGGACTGTCTTGTTTTAACGCATCGGGTTCAGGTTCGAAGAACATCGTGTTTGTTCTTGGAACATGTCTGGGTTCTAAGAACATCTCGTGGTATGACTATAGGAATGCCCGGACGGTCGGTCCCTGCTCAACATTGGAGGAGGATCCAAGTGTACACGCCCTTCCAGGAACGAGCTTGCCAGCGAGCTAATAGGAGGCCATGGAGTCCGCGAAGTCGTTTTGGAAGGTTGCCAATTCAAAGAACCCAGCGCCATCCATGTTGGGCCATGGTGATTATCTCACCCCCGCCGCGGACTGTCCGCGCTGGCCCGTGCTGATCGGGTCGGACGAGAGGCCTTGAGATCTGCGCGTTTTGCCACAGTTGTTTTAACACCTGGCGTTGCAATTGGTTTCGGACCCCGGACCATCACAGATCGATGCAGTTCGAAAAATGTTACAGCAATATGGGATCCAAGGTTCGTTGCCACTGTGATTGCTTTGTATCCTTTGCGGAGGAGGCCACCGGGGATAGCCACACAGCCTCGCTGTCTTCCAGGCTTTGCTGTTGATCGTTAGTCACCGTCGGGCGCCGCCCGGGGGGGGGAAACGAAAAAAAGAGAAACCAAAAAACATCCAAGATAGGGTCTGGGGCCCCGGTCGCGATATGTCGCGATGCAGCCTTGTTCCGCGACGTCGGATTTTTTTGTTGGGGGGGGGGGCGTCCAGGGAAAGGGGAAGTCACGAATCAGGAGCGAAAGAAGCACGTACACGTACATGAATCCATGCTGGTTTCGAGAGTATGCATTGCGCGAATGTTCGTATCGCGCGGCGGGTCTCGCGGATCGAGGGGCCGTGTTCATGTACATAGCTGGGCGCGTACGTCCTTTGTGGGCTCCCTAACGAAGGCTATTGCATGCAGTTGGGTGCGGGCCCGCCGCCGGGCGCGCTTCCTCGACGCGTTGGCGCCGGCGCGCGCCGGGAGAGCCGGTTGCCTGAGTTGGTTCGCTGGCCCCCCTTTGCTATCACCCCGCGACGTCCGACGCGAGGTGATCATCATCATCCTCCTCTTCCTCCTCCTCCTCCTCCCCCCCTCCTCCTCCTCCTCCTCCTCCTCCTCCTCCTCCTCCTCCTCCTTTTCCTCCTCCTCCTCCTCCTCCTCCTCCTCCTCCTCCTCCTCTTCCTCCTCCCCCCTCCTCCGTGTCCGTGAGCAGAACTGACTCCCGAGCCCGAAAGTGGCCCACGGAGGGCCGACCAGGGCATTGGCGCAGGCGCGCTGAGGCTCCCGTCGAGCCCTCGAGCTGCTGGAGTGGTCCACGACCCTCTCAAGGCCAAGCAGTGGCGAAGCGCCCTGGCTCGCCTATAGTATGAGCCCCACCAAACAATGTTCTAAGAACCTTTTGCGGTTCCCACGAAATGTTCTCAGAACATTTCTGGCTGGGACGGTCTTGTTTTAACACATCGGGCTTATGCTCTCAGAACATTGTTTTTGTTCTTAGAACATTTTTGGGTTCTAAGAACATTTCGTGGCATGACTATAGGAATGCCAGGACGGTCGGTCCCTGCTCAACAAGGGGCGAACGGGGACAGCGGAGCGGAAAAAAGGACAGGGTCTGTCTGCTTGCGGGGCCCTCTGCTCCTCCCCATCTCCTCGTCCTCGCCTCTTCTCACCCCCTCCTCCTCCTCCTCCTCCTCCTCCTCCTCCTCCTCCTCCTCCTCCTCCTCCTCCTCCGCCTCCGCCTCCGCCCTCCGCCCTCCGCCGCCCTCCTCCTCCTCCGCCCTCGTCCTCGCCTCCCCTCACCCCCTCGCGTCCCCAGCGGCGCGTTCTGGTCAGGATTTCGAGGCGGGTCCGGCCGTGGCGACGAGGGCTTCTCCCAGAGGCCCAAGAAGGCCGAAGAGCATGCGAGTATTCCCAGCTTCGACTCTCGCGCCTCCCTCCTCCTCGCCTCCAGTCTGCCTGCCCCTCCCCCCCTGCTTCGGGCTTGCCAGTGCACCAGAACTCGGTGCAGCCTGGGGATCCGCGTCTCAGTCGTTTTGGATCCACCCCGGGAGGATAGCCCACTGGGCCTCTGAACGTCTAGCTCATGGACGAGCCTGTCCGCCACGCAGCGCCTCTTCTCGTGACTCGCACTCTTGCTAGTGTTGTTCGCACTCGCACTCTTGCTAGTGTTGTTCGTGCTATATGATTGCTCGCAGCGCTGGAAGTATGATTAACTGTTCACAGTAGTATGAGTGTTCGTATGTATTGTATTGTTCTTAGTATTACTATTATGCTTATTTTTCCTATCATTATTCTTATGGCTCGCCGCCCCCTCTCGCCGCAGCGAGCCCTCCGCCGCGCGGGCCCAGGCAGGCCGGCGGGCTCGGGGCCCCCCACAAGCCGGGGCATTTCCAGCAAAGTGCCGCCTCTCCAGGGGGGGGGGTCCGTCTGGGGCCCCATGGGATCGCTCCTCCTCGCCCCCCCCCCTCCTCCTCCTCCGCCTCCTCCTCCTCCGCCTCCTCCTCCTCCTCCGCCTCCTCCTCCTTCTCCTCAGCCTCATCCTCCTCCTCCTCCTCCTCTCCTCCTCCTCCTCCTCCTCCTCCTCCTTCCTCCTCCTCCTCCTCCTCCTCCTCCTCCTCCTCCTCCTCCGCCTCCGCCTCCGCCTCCGCCTCCGCCTCCGCCTCCTCCGCTCCTCCACCTCCTCTCCTCTCCTCCTCCTCCTCCGCCTCCTCCTTCTCCTCAGCCTCATCCTCCTCCGCCCTCCTCTCCCTCCTCCCTCCTCCTCCCTCCCCCCTCCTCCTCTCCTCCTCCTCCTCCTCCTCCTCCTCCTCCTCCTCCTCCTTCTCCTCCTTCTCCTCCCCCTCCTCGACTCCTCGACTCCTCCTCCTTCTCCTTCTCCTCCTCCTCCTCCGCCTCCTCCTCCTCCCCCATCAGGCCGGCGGGCTCAGGGCCCCCCAAAAAGCCAGGGCGCTCCAGCAGTGCCGTCGCAGGGGGTTCGTCTGGGGCCCCCAGGGGGGTTCGCTCCTCCTCGCCCCCTCCTTCCTCCCCCACCCCCCGCTCCCCAGAGATCTGAGGCTCCGACGAAAACTGTGGGCGGCCGGCTTCTGGCTGGTTTCGCCCTCCTGGGGCCCTCAACGGGCCCCGGGACCGTCAGAAAACGATTCAGGATGAAAGACTGGCCCTGATATAGGGAAGCGGTCCAGACCGCCGGGGGCCCACGCATCGAAAAAAATTGGAGCGCCGGATGTTCCATCCCCCCTCTTTCCCTTGCCATGGGGTTAGGGGGATGTTTGGCTGCATTGGAGACGCTGCAGACCAGGACTCTGCCAGATCCAGCAGCAGAGAACAGAGGCTGGACAATGCTTCGACCTAGAGTGTTCATTTCGATCCGATCGATGCGATTCGATGTCGATCCCGGCCGGTCCAATCCGATTAGATTCCGACATTCCGACTACCCGATGTGACCCCATGTTCGCGTGGTTTCGCTGTGCATCTTGCCGCGACCGATCCGATTCGATTCCGACTCAGGCGATCGCAAACATGGATCAAGGGGGCGTGTATGAGCGACGAGCCCCGCTTCCATTGGAAATCGCAAATTTCCGCCGGCGAGCGAGGCAGCACCGGCCGTATTTTGGGGAGGGCACCTCCCCCGATCCATGGATTAGGCGACCGCGCGCCAAATCCATGGATCGCTAATCCATATTCGCGCGCCCGCGAGATTCCCTGCCGCTGCGGCCCGGTTCGCTGTGCATCTCGAGCCGAGCCGATGTCCCGAGTCGATGTTGACAGGTCCTGGCCCACGGCTGCAGTACTCTCGGGTGCGCCAGGTGCCATGGTCCATCAGAGTGGGCGCCCCTGCCCCAGAATCGGGTATAGCCAGGACCCCAGGTGAGGGGGCCCGGTTCGTAGTAGGGCCCCGTAGCCCCCAGCTTGGCCCGAGTCACTAAACCAGGTCTGCCGTAGCTGGTGTTTTTCGGGTGACGGCAGTTCCGGTTAGTGGAACGGGGCGGGGGGGGGGCGTCCCCCAGTACACATCTAAACCAGATCCCATTAAACCCAGTTTTGCCAACGCCCAGCAGAAGAGCAAGTGTTGTTTGCAAAAGAAAGCAACAAACAAGACAAACAAAAATGCCTCCAGATATTTGAAAGCCGCGACCATGACGCTCCTCCTGCCGTTCCGCGCGGACCCACGCCAGATCTCCTAGGCGCGTCCTGGGCCAACATTCGGCGTACAGTCACGACGCTGAGCTAAGGGCCACTCTGGGCTCAGGAGCGCTGGGTTTCGTGCCGCTCCCTGGAGGTCCAGGTCTAGGGAGGACGAGGACGAGGACGAGGAGGAGGAGGAGGCGGAGGAGGAGGAGGAAGAGGAGGAGGAGGAGGAGGAGGAGGAGGGAGGGAGGGACGGGACGGAGGGAGGCAAGGAGGAGGAGGAGTAGTCGAGGAGGAGAAGGAGGAGGAGGAAGAAGAGGAGAAGAAGGAGGGAGGGAGGGAGGAGGGAGGCGGAGGAGGGCGAGAGGAGGAGGAGGAGGAGGAGGAGGAGGAGGAGGAGGAGGAGGAGTCGAGGAGTCGAGAGGAGGAGGAGGAGGAGGAGGGAGGGGAGGGAGGGGAGGAGGAGGAGGGGGAAGGAGGAGGGAGGAGGGAGGAGGAGGAGGAGGAGGAGGAGGAGGAGTGAGGAGGAGAGGAGGAGGAGGGAGGAGAGGGAGGAGGAGGAGGAGGAGGGAGGAGGGGGAGAGGAAAATGGAGAAGGAGGAGGAGGAGGAGGATGGAGAAGGAGGAGGAGAAGGAGAAGGAGGAGGAGGAGGAGGAGGAGGAGGAGGGAGGGACGCTGGGTTTCGGGCCGCTCCCCGGAGGTCCAGGTCGGGGGGTTCCGTGCTCGTGGCCGAGGCACGCCGTGGTCAGGGAAAGCCCCCTCCGCCCCTGATGCCTCATTCAGCGTTCCTCACGGCAACACGACGGCTACACATGTTGATGATGTGTTTGTTGGTGTTGTGATGATGTTGGTGTTGATGTTGATGTTGTTGATGACGATGATGACGACGACGAGGATGAGGATGAGCATGAGTATGAGCATGATTATGATGATGGTGATGATGATGATGACGATGATGATGATGATGATGGTGATGGTGATGGTGGTGATGGTCATGGTCATGGTCATGGTCATGGCCATGGTGGTGGTGATGATGGTGATGATCTGATGATGATGATTCTGATGGTGGGTGGTGCCAGTGGTGGTGGTGGTGGTAGTGATGATGATGTTGCTGGTGGTAATGCTGATGGCGATGATACTCGTGATACTGATGATGGTGATGGCTATAGTGATGATGATGATGCTGCTGATGCTGATGATGATGCTGGTGATGATGATCGTGATGATAATGGCGATAACGATAATGGTGATGCTGCTGACGATGATAATGGTGTTGCTGATAATGCTGCCGATGCTGGTACTGATGCTGATAATGATGGTGATTTGATGATGATGATGCTGCTGATGCTGATAATGATGATGCTGCTGATGATGACGATGCATCAACGCCAACACCACCACCATCAGCAGTAGCATCAACACCATCATCATCATCATCATCATCATCATCATCATCATCATCATCATCATCATCATCATCATCATCATCAAAATCGAATTTGTTGACGCTTCGCATACCCACACCAGGGTTTCGGCGGTAGGTCCTGCTCTGCTCCGCGTTAGGTACTTAGGCCCCCGCGCGGCCCGCTCGGACCTTACTCGCCGCTTGCGCTCTCGCCTGCGGCTGCTAACAAAAAAGTATCCCCACCAGCCCACGCATAACCGATGCCCGGAGCACTCTTTGGGCGTCTTGCGTGCCTGACGGATCGTCTTGACGTCTCTTGGGAGTCTCTTGGGCGCTTCTTGACGAGCTGCTGGGATGAAAGTCATGACCAGCAGCAGCACCAGCAGCAGCACCAGCAGCAGCAGCAGCCCCCCTGCGGCGCCGCGCCCCCAGGGGACCTGCGTGGTGCTGCTGCACCACAGGCCGCCGCCCCCTTGCCGGGCCCGCTCGCGCCCCCTTCGGCGAGGGCGTGCGCCCCGGCTCCCCCGGAGCTTCAGTCGGTCCTGTCCCTCTACAGGAGGGATCTTCAAAAAGAGTACAACACACAACAAATAGCCTGGGGACGATGTGTTTAGTACTTCGGGGCATTTGTTTGAGCACTTTTGTCATCATTGCTTATTGTTCGTCCAAGGTGCCCCTGGGGGGGGGGGGGGGGGCACGCGCCCGACTTCGCCCGTGGCCCAGGTCGAAGTCTGCTGAACGCAGCTGGTTTCGGCCCCCGCGCCGGGGAGAATCAGCTGAGTAAGCTGACTCTTGGCGGCGCGCACAAGGGGGGAGCGCGAGGGGGGTGTCCTTCCCAGAAGGCGGGGGAGCTTCTGAGGAGGCAGGGACCTCCTTGGAAGCCCTCCTGGCTTCCGAGGAGCCTTCTTGGAAGCCTCCAGGCCCTTCTAAAAGGAGGCCGCCACGAAGAGTCGCGGATCCCCTGTGCCAAGGACGATTTCGTGGAGGGTCCAGCCGAAAGCCTGGGGCATCGAGCCCGCCCGCCCCCCCCTGCCCCCTTCCCCCCGGGATGAAGTCAGATGTCCTCGGTTGCGCAGGTCCGAGGAGGGTACACCTTGGGCGATGCTTAAGAAAACCTAAGTTTTCGGCCAGAGTCTCGATTATTCTTAACGTTTCAATGTAAATCCTAAGATTTCAATAGAAATGTGGGGTTTTTACGCAAGTTCTGAGACTATGAATTTCTTAACCCATGATTTCTTAAGCATTTCGCAGGGTGTACGCAGTGTTGGTGCGGACAGGCGGTTGCAGGATCACCTTCATCAACCGTCAGCAGCAGCAGCAGCAGCAGCAGCAGCAGCAGCAGCAGCAGCAGCAGTGCTGGTGCGCGCGGGCATGCTCGGCGCTGCGCAAAGCGACAAGGCTAGTTTGCAGTCGAGACTAAGTAGCAGATCGACCCTGCCAAATCAAGGGTGCCCTTGTGTCCTGAGCTTCGCGACCCACGTCTCCTTACATTCCTATGGCAATGTGGCCCTCGGAAGGGTCTTGTGCCCTCTCGCGTGTCCCCTCCAATCAGTCCCGACTGTATCGGCCCGCAGCCCCCTCCCCCGACTCTCACCGGACAGCTCGGGCCATCGCCGGAGAATGCAAGCGATCTCTCCCCCGCCCGTCCGACCCGACGCTTCTCGAGCCCGCGGCGTTCCCCATCGGCTGCGCCTCTCGTGGGCAACGTTGGGCGGGGGAGGGACTCCGGGGGGGAGGCACCGCCCTCCAGTCGCCCGTGCATCACCGAGAAGGGCACGCTAGCCCACCTGGCCCATGAGCTTACGGAGGTGGCCGATCGGTGATGTATTGCCGATTCCGACTCGAGCATGAACAGCCCCCCCCCGAGCGACGACGAGAGCATTTGGAGGCCCGCCGTAGCAGCGACGACGACGACGACGACGACGACGACGACGACGACGACGACGACGACGACGGCGGCGCCTCGTCGAGAGAGTCTTCTGGGGAAGCCGCAGCGTCGCCCGAGCCGCCGCCCCGGGCCCCACGGGGGTCGTCTTCGCCGGCCCCGGCGCGCGGCCTGCCCGCAGGAGGGATCGCGCGCGAGCGCCCTTTGGCTCCCACGTGGCGGGCCACGCCAGCGGCCCGCGTAAGGCAGGAGGGGAAAAAACCCACAGACACAATGAATCGTCGACTCCCCAGAAAATATGGGAAAATATAGGAAGTGGTGGGGAAGACAAAACCCAGAAAGTATGGGAGAACATGGGGAATCTCTTTTTTAGTCGTGTGTATGTATTTGTGTGTCCCAGGGCCCCTTCAGTAAGCCGCGGCGTCGGGGCTCCAGAGACGTGGGTCGATGCAAACGGGGTCTGCCAGAGCGCCGGATCCTGCAGGATCCCGCAGGGCCAGGGTCGCATTGCATGGACCCAGGTTTGGGCGCAGGATCCTGCAGGAGCCTTCGCACTGATCCGGGCTTGGGTGCAGGATCTGGCAGGACTTTTCAGGATTCTGCAAGGCTTGACTGACCCGGGTCTGGATTGACCCAGGTCAGGAGATCCCCGGCGGCGTGCGGTCGCCATGCCATGCCATCTCATGTGAGACCCGTCTCTTCTCGTCGCTCGTGTGGGCCGACGGCCAGGCGGACGTTTTCGGTTCGCGAGAGGGCGTCGCAGCCGTTATTTTTGCGGGTCCAGGTCCGTCGGTTTCGGTCCCAGGCTGTTTTCAGGAAAGGGTGGTTTACACTCAAGGGAGGTTTGTCCACCGCCGAGAGTGGGGTCCCGTGCCAAGAGACGCCCTGCTTGCCTCCAGGGTGCCCTGGGTTTCCTGGGCTTGGACGGCTTTGCGATGGAGAGCGCGACGTGCCCACGCCAACAGTCTGTGGACGTCCTGGGGTCTTGGGGTTGGGTTTCTTGTGGGGGATGTCTTGTGGACTGGCCTCCACTGCAAGTTCGCACAGCCTGGCCGAGGTACAAGATCGAGGTCGCTTCGGAGAGGCTGCCCTCCTGCTCTCCATGTCTGTTGGATGCTCTGGCGCGTCCTAGGGGAGGGTACGCTTCAGATGCTCTGCCTGATTTGGGCCGGCGGAGGGTATCACGTTCGTGGTGGATGTTTTTTTGTCAAGCCGGGCCTGTCCCTCTACAAGGGGAATATTCCAAAATAGTCAAAAAAAGAGTGTGGGGACGATGTGTTGACTATTTTTGTTTATTTGTTTGTGTATGTCTGCTTTTTTTTATTTTTTTGGCGAAAATCCCGCCTGTAGGGGGACATGTCCGACCTAATTTTTGTTGCCCTCGGTCCGACGGCACGAAGTGCTTGGAGCGGTGGGGCGCGCCGCTGCAGAACGAGGCACAGGGAAGGAGGGAACGCGCGAGGCAAGGAGCGGCCAGAGCGGCCACAGAAGTCGTAAGTCGGGCGTGTTCCTCTACTGGGGGATTTTCGGACGAAAAATAGAAGATATTCAAAAATACAACAAATACAAACAAAAAATGCCCCGGGACTATTTTTGAATATTCCTTCTGCAGAGGACAGGCCCGACTTGGGAGAAGTCTTCGTGTGCGCGCTGGGGTACAGGTACTAAGTCGTGCCTGCCTCTCTACAGGAGGAATGTTCAAAAATAGTACATATTTTCGACTGTGCTTCATTTCTCGTCCAAAATCCGCCTACAGGAGGACACTCGGAGGTGGATAGACCTCCTACCCTGACACGTCGATTAAGGAATTGACCCTTTTCGGTTCGCGAGAGGGCGTCGCGGCCGTCATCTTTGCGGGTCCAGGTCCGTCGGTTTCGGTCCCAGGTCGTTTTCACTGAGGGGAGGTTTACTAAAGGGAGGCTTGTCCACCGCCGAGACACGCCCGACATGATGCAAGTCCTCGAAGTGCGAGGCGGCCACGACAGCCAGGGCGCCGAAACGAGGACCACTTTGGGCTCGGGAGGGGCTCTCGCCCTGGCCAGGAGAGCTCCTCCGCGCCTCTCGCTCCGCCTCCTGGCCGCCGCCGCCGCGGCGCGGCGCGCGTGGCCGCCGCGACGCCGCGAGAGGCCAGGAGCAGGAGCCCCCGGGGAGCGCGCCGTCGGTCGGCGTGCGAGGGGGGGGGGGGGAGGGGAAGGAGGAGGCCGCAGCGACGCGGGCAGGGCGAGAGCGCAGCCCGCGGGGGATCGCCGATGCGGGGGGGGGGGGGAGGAGCCCAGGAGAGAGAGTGCCGTCGGTCGGCGTGCGAGGTTCGGAGCAGAGGGGCGTCGGAGGATCGCGCCGCGTCGCCGATGCAGAGGCGATGCGGCTCGATGTGGGGCCCGGCTTTCTCCACGCGGGCGTCGCTGATGCACCGCCGCCGTCGAAGAGGCGTCCCTCCTGCATCGCCGATGCATCGGCGCGGCGGCGTGATCCCCCGACCCCGTCTGCTCGACCCCGGAGCCCACTCGGGAGGCCTCTGCTCTTGCGCGTGCTCCTTTCTGGATCACTCGCCGTGCCTTCCGTGCCCGCCGGGGGCGTGTCGTGCATGATGGACCCGCTTTCCACCACCACCATAAGTTGGAGGGGGAGGGGGTCTTCCTCCTCCTCCTCCTTTCCCTCCTCCTCCTTTCCCTCCTCCTCCTCCTCCTCCTCCTCCTCTCCTCCTCCTCCTCCTCCTCCTCCTCCGCCTCCTCCTCCTCCTCCTCCTCCTCCTCCTCCTTTCCTCCTCCTCCCTCCGCCTCCTCCTCCTCCTCCGACTCCTCTCCTCCTCCTCCTCCTCCTCCTCCTCCTCCTCCTCCTCCTCCTCCTCCTCCTCCTCCTCCTCCTCTCCCTCCTCCTCCTCCTCCTCCTCCTCCTCCTCCTCCTCCTCCTCCTCCTCCTCCTCCTCCTCCTCCTCCTCCTCCCCCTCCCCCCGCCAACTTGTGGTGGTGGTGGTGGAAGGCCGGCCCCACAGTGCCGGGGGCCCGACGGCGCCCCCGCCGCCCGCCCCCGCCCCCGCCCCGCAGGGCGGCGGCGGCTTCCCTCGGCGCCGGCGTGGGCGGCAGCATCGGCGAGCGCCTCCGCCCGGCCAGGGGCGGAGGGCGGGGCTCGCAGCAGGAAAAGGGTCGGGTGTGCAGTGTCGTTTTTGATACTCGGGGGCGGACAGAACCCCCAACAGTGACACGTCGATTAGTGAATTGTCCGTTTTCGGTTCTCGAGAGGGCGCCGCGGCCGTTATTTTCCAGGCTTGCGCCTGCCAGGTTTGGGCCTCAGGTCGATTTCACTAAACCACGTTTTACTAAAGGGAGGTCTGTCCATCCCCGAAATACATGCTCCGCGTGCGGATCATGTATCAAAAATGCTCATGCATCAATTGATGCATAAATGTATCACGTATTAAACATCCTAGATGTTTGAAAAATCCTATGTGTTAAAAACCGCCCTGTAGCCAGGACCCCGGGTAAGGGGACCCGATCAGTGGTAGGGCCCCGGGGCCCTTCAATTGGCCAGAATCACTAAACCAGGTTTGCCGTAATTGGTGCTTTTCGGGGGACGGCAGTTCCGGTGAGTGGAAATGGGGCGGGGGGGCGCCCCCGGTACAAATCACTAAACCAGGTTCCACTAAGCCCAGTTCTGCCAACGCCCAAAAGGGGCACGGATGTCCTCGGAGCCGCCCGCTGGTTTTGGGCCCTCTCCAGAGTGGAGTCGGGCCCGTCCCTCGACAGGAGGAGCGTGCAGACATAGTCAGAAAATAGTCTTGGGACTGTGTCTAGACTATGTTTGAGCATGTTTGGAGCATCTCGTTCGTATTTCGGATGTTTCGCCGCAAATCCCCTTGTAGGGGGGACAGGCCCGACTTCATTCTGGAGGAAGAAAACACGTAAACATGAACTTTCGACTGTCCGTGCGAATTTCTTGGAGTTGCGCTGGGCCCCCCTCCCTGGCGCGCGGAGCGCGCCAGGGGCGGCGCCGGAGGCGCCGCTGGAGGGCCCAGGCGCGGATCCAAGAAACCCGCGCGGAGCGCCAGGAGTTTATGTTTATGTCTTTGTTTCTTCTACTCTCGGGCCCTCTGGGGCGCCTCCCTGGCCGTCTTGGGGCCGTGTTGTGGCCTGGGGGCCTTTTGGGCCACCTTGGAGCGTCGGGAGCTCGAAAAGCCGAGGGCCCAAAAATCGTTGACAACCCTACGGAAAATCGGAAAATCAATGGTTTCGGCATCTCGGGGCCGTCTTGGGAAGGCTCTTGGGGCTCTCTTGGGACATCTCTCAGGCCCTCTTGGACCGTCTCGGGGCCATCTTGGGCGTCTTGGTGCGATCTTGGGGCGTCTCGGGGCCCTCCTGGACCGTCTTGGGGGCCTCTCGGGGTCCTCTTGGCCTGAGAGAGTGCTTGGTTTTCCCGGCGGGCCGTACTAGTACGCCAGAGTACGCCTACTAGTACGAACCGGCGGGTCGTACTAGTACGCCGAAGTACGCCTATTAGTACGACCCGCGGCGCCCGGGAGGCGTACTCGTAGAGCAGAAGTACGCCTACTAGTTCGCCCCGCTGGGTCGTACTAGTACGCCAAAGTACGCCTACTAGTACGACCCGCGGGGCCTGGGAGGCGTACTCGTAGGGCCGAAGTACGCCTACTAGTACGACCCGGCGGGTCGTACTAGTACGCCGAAGTACGCCTACTAGTACGACCCGCGGCACCCGGGAGGCGTACTCGTAGAGCAGAAGTACGCCTATTAGTTCGCCCCGCTGGGTCGTACTAGTACGCCGAAGTACGCCCACTAGTACGACCCGCGGGGCGAAGGAGGCGTACTCCTAGGGCCGAAGTACGCCTATTTGTACGACCCGTCGGGTCCTACTAGTACGCCGAAGTACGCCTTCTAGTACGACCCGCGGCGCTCGGGAGGCGTACTCGTTGGTCCGAAGTACGCCTACTAGTTCGCCCCGCTGGGTCGCGCTAGTACGCCGAAGTACGCCCACTAGTACGACCCGCGGGGCGAAGGAGGCGTACTCCTAGGGCCGAAGTACGCCTACTAGTACGACCCGCGGCGCCCGGGAGGCGTACTCGTAGAGCAGAAGTACGCCTACTAGTACGACCCGGCGGGTCGTACTAGTACGCCGAAGTACGCCTACTAGTACGACCCGCGGCGCCCGGGAGGCGTATTCGTAGGGCCGAAGTACGCCTACTAGTTCGCCCCGCTGGGTTGTATTAGTACGCCTACTAGTACGCCCACTGGTACGACCCGCGGGGCGAAGGAGGCCTACTCGTAGGGCCGAAGTACGCCTACTAGTACGACCTGGCGGGTCCTACTAGTAGGCCAGAGTACGCCTACTAGTACGACCCGCGGCGCTCGGGAGGCGTACTCGTTGGTCCGAAGTACGCCTACTAGTTCGCCCCGCTGGGTCGTACTAGTACGCCGAAGTACGCCCACTAACTAGTACGCTCGCGGGGCGAAGGAGGCGTACTCCTAGGGCCGAAGTACGCCTACTAATACGACCCGGCGGGTCCAACTAGTAGGCCAGAGTAGCCCTACCAGTACCCCCCCCAACCCCCCAGGGCCGTACTAGTACGGCAAAGTAGCCCTACTAGTAGCTCTGCCGGGGCGGACTTTCGGGGACGTCTCGAGCAGAGGCTCACTCCGCCGGTCGTACTAGGAGCCCAAAGTAGCCCTACTAGTAGCCCCGGCGGGGCGGACTTTCGAGGATGTCTCGAGCGGAGGCCCCCTCCGCTGGTCGTACTAGTAAGCCAAAGTACCCTACGAGTACGCCCCCGCCACTCTCCCAGGGACCGTACTAGTAGCCCAAAGTAGCCCTATTAGCAGCCCCTCCAAAGCGAACTTGTGAGTATGTCTCAGGGGGGGCTCTCTCCGCAATTCGTACTAGTAGGCCAAAGTAGCCTTACTAGTACGCCTCCGCCAACCCCCAGGACCGTACTGGTAGGCCAAAGTAGCTCTACTAGTAGCCCCGCCGGCCATCCCCCCAGGTCCGTACTAGTAGGGCTACTTCGGCCCTACTAGTAGCACCGCCGGGGCGGACTTTCGAGGATGTCTCGAGCGAGGGCCCCCTCCGCTGGTTGTACTAGTAGGCAAAAGTAGCCCTACTAGTACGCCCCGGTGGGGCGGACTTTCGAGGATGTCTCGAGCGAGGGCCCCCTCCGCCGGTCTCACTAGTAGGCCAAAGTAGCCCTACTAGCACGCCCCCGCCAGACCCCTCTGGACCGTACTAGTAGGCCAAAGCAGCCCTACTGGTAGCCTCGCCAGGGCGGACTTTCGAGGATGTCTCGAGCGGGGGCCCTCTCCGCCAGTCGTACTAGTAGGCCAAAATAGCCCTACTAGTACGCCCCCGCCAGCCCCCCGGGGCCCGTACTAGTAGGCGAAAGTAGCTCTACTAGTAGCCCTGCCGGGGCGGACTTTCGAGGATGTCTCGAGCGGGGGCGCCCACCGCCGGTCGTACGATTGGCAAAAGTAGCCCTACGAGTACGCCCCGGCCATCCTCCCAGGTCCGTACTAGTAGGGCAACCTCGGCCCTACTAGTAGCCCCGGCGGGGCGGACTTTCCAGAATGTCTCGAGCGGGAGCGCCCTCCTCCGGTCGTACTAGTAGGCCAAAGTAGCCCCACGAGTACGCCCCCGTCAAGCTCCCGGGGGCCGTACTAGTAGGCCAAAGAAGCCCTACTAGTAGCCCCGCCGGGGCGAACTTTCGAGGATGTCCCGAGCGGGAGCCCCCTCCGCCGGTCGTACTAGTAGGCCAAAGTAGCCCTATTAGTACGCACTCGCCATCCCTTCAGGCCCGTATTATTAGGCCCAAAGAACCCGACTGGTAGCCGCCGCTTGGGCGGACTTTCGAGGATGTATCAAGCAGGGGCGCTCTCCGCAGGTCGTGCTAGTAGGCCAAAGTAGCCCTACTAGCACGCCCCCGCCATCCCCCCAGATCCGTACTAGTAGGGCCACTTCGTCCCTACTAGCAGCCCCGGCGGAGCGGACTCCAGAGAATGTCTCGAGCGGGAGCGCCTTCCGCCGGTCGTACTAGTAGGCCAAAGTAGCCCTACTAGTACGCCCCCGCCAGCCCCCCTGGGCCGTACGAGTACGCCAAAGTAGCCTTACTAGTAGCTCCGCCGGGGCAGAGTTCCGAGAATGTCTCGAGCGGAGGCCCCCTCCGCCGACCGTACCAGTAGTAGGCTCAAGTAGCTCTACTAGAATGCTCCGGCCTAAACCCTCCAACCCCTTCCTTCTGCCCCCTCCCCCCTCTCTATCTCTTTCTCTCTCTCTCTCTCTCTCTTTCTCTCTGTATTCCTCGCTTTTCCCTCTCTCCCTCCCCCCGACCCCCCCCTTCCCCCTCCTCCCTCCTTCCCACTTCCTCGTCGCCGGCGCTGCCGCCGTCGCCGTCGTCGTCGTCGCCGTCACGCAGCCCCAAGCCGACCCCGCGGAAGCCCCAATAACCACAATTGAGGCTAATCGCGATAAGAAGATTACACCTACGATTCGCACATCGCTCGGCGATGATAAAGTTCAGTCTCGCCGCCCCCTCCGCCGACCAAACGTATCTTTCCAGAAGTATCCAACGCGGCGGAGTTTAGGATCCCGAACGTACTCTCATTATCCGGTACACAACGGTACTCACGCCAGCTACCTCACCAGAGCGACTCTCGAGAGCGCTTCCATCAAAACCCCAGAGAAACATTTCCTCACGGAGAACGATTGCAAAGTCATTCCCTGAAGCCTTCCACTCTCCAACCTGGCACAGCGTAAACACAGTACCACCGCAATCTCATACAATGAAACAGGAGCACCCTCAAACAACCAGGCACCTGACACGCGTGAACCCCACCCATGAGACCTTTTCCCGCTCTTCACTGTGAATATCAAACCCGAAACCGCAACCCCCATGGGCCCATGCCCGCTGCATCTCACACGACCGATAGCGCACCCGACTCAGAGCCGGAGTCTACAACGGTCGGAGCCACATCGCGGTCGGCACCCACCTCGTCTGGCACGATTAACGGCGCGCCCACCTCGCATGCCGACTCTACTCCTGGATAGACAGTATCCGGATCCATGCCCTCCGCGCCGGACTGGAAGGGCGCCGCGCCCGCGCGCGCGCCATGACACCCGGTGCCGAACCCTCCCGCGCCCGCGAAAGGCAACGAGAACCTCAGCGGTGACTCTGTGAACCAGCTCTCGTTGGCGGCACGCTGCCCATCGCGGTCGGCACCCACCTCGTCTGGCACGATTAACGGCGCGCCCACCTCGCATGCCGACTCTACTCCTGTATAGACAGTATCTGGATCCATGCCCTCCGCGCCGGACTGGAAGGGCGCCGCGCCCGCCTGATTGCGCCACGCCCACGCGACATGAGGTGTCACCGACTCAGCCGCTGACTGCTGGGCAGCGGGTTACCCCTGCCCCCGATTCGGCCGAGGATGGGTTACCACCCCCAGCCCGGACGCAAAGGGTTCCCCCCTGCGCCCGATTCGGCTGACGATGGGTTACCACCGGCGGCCCGGAGGCAAGGGGTTACCCCTGCCCCCGATTCGGCCGAGGATGGGTTACCACCCCCAGCCCGGACGCAAAGGATTACCCCTGCGCCCGATTCGGCCGCCGATGGGTTACCACCGGCGGCCCGGAGGCAATGGTTACCCCTGCCTCCGATTCGGCCGAGGATGGGTTACCACCCCCGGCCCGGACACAAGAGGTTACCCCTGCGCCCAGCCGCTGTCTCGTCGTCGTCGTCGTCGTCGTCGTCGTCGTCGTCGTCGTCGTCGTCGTCGTCGTCAGCTCCTCAGTCACCCTGTCGGGCACGCAGGCCCGTGGCGGTAACAAATGTGCTGAAGACCAGCTCAGACGCGGCTAGGTCCAAGTCGTTCACAGAGGACTCCCGGGCCGTATGGGGAGGGGAGGGGTTATGCAGAGGGACTCCCGCGTCAGACTTCCTCGCAAGTCTCTCGAGTTACGCACGCACGAAGCTCCTGGCTCATTCCTTCCCCATGTCCACGATTGAAAAGGCCACAAGGGGACCGGGGACCGAGGACCAGACCGGGGCCGGTCAAAGAAATTCCGCCATTGTGAAGCGGGTGCGGAGGCCTCCAATATGCCGAAAATCCTCCAAATGGCCGACGTACGCGTGCTAGTACGAGTGGGGCGGGCGTACGGGTTCGGCTACGTAGGCGCACTAATACGACAGCAAAGTGCACGGACGGGCGTACGACTACGGCTACGTGAGCCTACGAATACGGCGGCGGTGCGCGGCTCGGGCGTACGAGTACGGCTACGTACGGCGACTAGTACGACTGCGACGTGCACGCCCGAGCGTACGAGTACGGCTACGTACCGGTACGAGTACGACTGGAGCGGGCGTACGACTTCGGCGACGTAGGCCTACTAGTACGGCAGCAGAGTGCAAGAACGGCCGTACTAGTACAGCTACGTACGCCTCCTAATACGACGGCGGTGTGCCGGGTCGGGCGTACGAGTACGGCTACGTACGGCTACGAGTACGACTGCGACGTGCCCTGCCGAGCGTACGAGTAGGGCCAGGTACGCGTACTAGTACGACCGGAGCGGGCGTACTAGTACGGCTACGTAGGCCTACTAGTACGACGGCGGAGTGCAGGGACGGTCGTACTAGTGCGGCTACGTAGGCCTACTAGTACGACGGCGGAGTGCAGGGACGGTCGTACTAGTGCGGCTACGTAGGCCTACTAGTACGACGGCTGTGTGCGGGGCGGGGCGTACGAGTACGGCTACGTACGGCTACTAGTACGACTGCGGCGTGCACGGCTGAGCGTACGAGTGCGGCTACGTACGGCTACTAGTACGACTGCGGCGTGCACGGCCGAGCGTACGAGTACAGCTACGTACGGCTACTAGTACGCCCCGCGGTCGTACTAGTAGGAGGAAGTAGGCCTACTAGTACGACGACCGGGCTAAGCAAGCCTATTCTGCTTGGCCTGGCCCGAAAAAAGACACGCGAGAAGCTGGAGCCCAGCAGAACCGCGCCAAGCCCCGGGAGATTTGAGAGTTTGGGGTTTGGATCTTTTTGTCGATGCTCCAGGGGTGAGAACTGAGGCTTGGAGGATTAAGTGAAGGACCTGGCACGCCCACTCCGTGCCCAACGGCAAGGTGGCGGATTCCCGTGAGTGGATAGCTACAGGGGAGGATGATATACACACACACACACCAACACACACACACACACGGAAGACCGAAGATGACGGTGCCGACCGTTCTTTAAGTTGTCAGTTGCAGTATCCGTCTCTACGAATGCCCTGAACCGTCGTAGAGTTTGTTTAGCGATATTTCATCTCAGTTTCCAGGTCGAGCATTGATCGTATGAACCAAGGCAGATAACATGGTTGAGCACACGTTCGCAGAAAACCGTGTTGAGGGAGTAAGGTACGGCAGAGACACAGTTGGAAGTACGACCAGCATGAGTGCTGTGTCTTGCCCACGTTGCGCGAGAATGGGCTTGGAGCGAAGCCAGAGGTACGGTTCTGGGATAGTGCGCACGCGCGGCAACACAAGCACAGGAGCAGACGTCGATATTCGGGGGAAGTCAACTGATCACTTCACCGATCCTGGCCAGGCTGATCTTTGGCCCAGCATCCGTCTTTGCGCATCCCTGGCCAGGCCAGGAGGGCGCGCTCGCCGATCCTGGGCCAGGTCTGGAACGGTGAGGTGGTGAAGTCCCCCGAATATTGCAGCCCACCGGCCCGCTGGGTGCAGTTTCGACGTGAGGGTCGCCGAGGCGAACCACGGAATGAAGGCAATGCCGCCGGCCGCTCAGAGGTCCTAGAGTCTGCGGTGAGGACAGCACGACCCACCCCCACCCCCAACAGGACCCCCACTCCCGACCTGGTGATCCTCCAGGACCAACTCCAACAGGACTCGCTCCACAACAGGACTCACTCCAACAGGGCTCACTCCAACAGGACCCCCACTCCCCAACAGGACTCACTCCAACAGGACCCCCACTCCCAACAGGACCCCCACCCCCAACAGGACCCCCACTCCCACCCCCACCCCTAACAGGACCCAGGGGGTCCTGGCTGGAGGGGGTGGGGAGGGCTCCGAGAGCCCCCCAAAAAACACGCACGCACACACCCAGGCAGGACCGCCCCTGGATCACCAGGTCGGGGGAGGGGGTCCCAGGCAGGACCCCCTGGATCACCAGGTCGGGAGTGTGGGTCCTGGTGGGGGCGGGGGTGGGACAGTCGGGCCGGGCGAAAGGGACGGATAGGGAAAGGGGGGGTACGAAATGTGCTGCATGTAGCTGGTTTCGGCCCCGCCGCCGGGCCCATTCCTCGATACATGGCCGCCTCCGGCGCCGGGAGGCGCCGGGAAAATCAGCTACGTGAGCTGATTCTCAAACCCCCCCTCCCTTTCGCCCGGCCCGAGACAGGGATCTGCCAGCTTTGGAGTGCCCTGCGTGTGGGTCCAGCGTCAGTGCTCTGACTGGCGGCGAGCACCCAGGGGGGGAGGGGGGGGCGCAAGGGGGCGGCCTTCTGAGAAGGCGGGGGGCTTCTAACAAGGCAGGGGCCTTCTTACGAGGGCCCGAGGGCTTTCGAGAAGGCTTCTTGGAAGCATCCAGGCGTTCCCAGAGAGGCCCATGTCCTCTGCCTTCTAAGAAGGCCGCCACCCTTCGCGCCACCCCCCAGGGCGCGCCGCCAACATGCGGAGCAGGATCAGAGACACCTTGGCCTGACCAGAGGCTGCTCCGCCCTCGAGGGCGAGAAGTGATTCGCGCTTCGCGGTTCGGCTCTGGCCTCCTCATCCTCCTCTTCTCCCCCGGGAGGCGGCGCGAGAGCGCGAAGTTGTTCGCGCGTCGCGCAGCGCGAAGCGCGCAGCGCGAAGCTGGGAGCCCTTGGCTCAGAGACACGCTGGCCTGACCGGAGGCTGCTCGCGCGTCTTGTCCTGCCGCCATCTCGCGGCAGGGCTGGGGAGCCTGCGCAGGGACCTGCCGGTCGGCCCGGTGCCGCCCCGCCCCTCCCGTGCACGCCTCCAGGGCAGAAGGGGGGAGCGGGTCTGCCACGGCTGGTGCACGGCCCTGCCCTGTGCACCACGCCTGCTGGCTATAGTGCTACCGGCTGGCTCTCTCTCTTCGGAGTTGAAATCGAGGTTGCAGTGATCACTTGCGATTGCGGCACACCGGAAAGGACGAGTCATCCTCTATCCGGCAATCGTTACACGTGCTTGCAGATGTCCGAAGGATTTGTTCTCCTGAGTCCGTTGTAGGCTGTATCGTTCCGAGTAGAAGACTTGCACGTGGTCTGAGTCGGATTCCCATACGCCAGCAGCGAGGGTTCGGCCGACTTCGATATGAATGCCACGCCTGCCATCGTCGAGCGGTAACGGAGCCTACGATTGTTGTCGTGGACTGAACTCTGGTTGCAAAGTCGGCAGAGTTACCAGCTCGGAGGCTTGCCTTTGCGATGACCACAGCACCTCAGGGCGAGAGCAGGGAGCCCCCGCCAAATCCCCGTCTCGCATGGTCGCATGCTCGGTTCGGGCTGTTTCGAGAGCAGTTTGCCAGCTGTTCTCCAAATAGGCTTGCCCCATCGGAGTTCTAACTCAAACCCTACTCATTAGTCCGTTGCCCCCCCCCTAATTCTTATGCCCCCCCCCTAATTCCTATGGCTATGCCTCTGCCTATGCCTGTGCCTCCCCCCTAACTCTATGCCTACGCCTTTCGTCCTCCTCCCATCCTCCCTCCTGTCCTCCCATCTATTTGGAGTCAACGCTGGCTGATATTTCTTTGTGTTCGGTGCCCCGAGGGGGGCATGTATGTGCGCCAACGGCAGGAGCTTGACCCGAGGTTATGATGCTACTTCTGCAGCCCAGCCTGCCCTCTGCCAGTACCCGACCGTCGCCGAGGTGGTGTGGGAACGGCTCGGTCGAAAGGCGCACACAGCTTGCCCCGCCCAAGCGGGGCCGAGCACTTTGCATCGCTCGGACGTGTGCATTTTCTTCTCGGCGAGAACCATCGAGGACCATCCTGGACCATCGCGCAAAAAAAAATGCACAAATCCGAAAAATGCACGGGAAATGGACGTCCGAGCGACGGCAAGAGCATCCGAGCGATCTACACGGGAGCTCAGGAGCCATGCCCCGAGAGGACTCAGCGGCCCCACGTGTGCGACCCTCTCCGCATCCTTCGGGCCACCGTCATGGAACGCGTGTCTCCTGTGACCGTCAGAGCAAACGGCCATTATGATGATATGTTCCAGGATTTCCCAGGCTTCCACGATGTCCCGTGTTTCTTGATCTTCCGCAACGGGTTGCGCCGTTGTGGAAATGTTGGAACAGATCTCGAGCCGATCTTATCATTGCATCGTTCTCACCCTATGCACGCCTCTTGTGACTGGCCCCTGGTGATCTGCAGGGCTCATTGGAATGGCCAGCGAACTCTCCGTCGGGCCCTCGGCAGGCCTGTCTGCATTCACACGCGCTCGTCGCCATCCCAGAGGGTCAGTTCGTGCCTCTCTGGCAGCTGCCCGTGGGAGGGGCCCAATTCGCCGACTCGCTCGCCAAGGCTCTGGCTTCCTCTTCTGCTGTCCGTCGATGGCCCCGAGGGCGCGTGGGCGGGCCGGGTCGCTCTCTCATGGCATCCAGCACTCCAGCCGGTCTGTGTCTTGCGGAGCTTGTCGGCGTACCTGCCGGGGGGTCGACTTGGTTAGGAAGAGGGAGTGAATGGAGGGTGGTCCTGCTGAGGAGGCGGAGGGGGAGGGCGTCGGCATGCAGGAGGAGGAGGAGGAGGAGGAGGAGGAGGAGGAGGAGGAGAGGAGGAGCCCTGACGGGAGGAGGAGGAGGACCAGGAGGATTTTCAAGGAGAGCGCCAGGGGAATCTGGTTTGCGCTCTGTTGCTCCGTCTTGGAAGCGCCTTCTCTTGCTGAAGGTGGTTTTGGTCACAAGTGCGCCGGGGCGCTCAAAAGAGAGGCCGGGGTGTCGTGTTGCCTCGGAGATTATGGTTGATCTCTCCGCACAGGTTGCAGCTGTGAGCTACTTTTTTGGTTTGCGGACACCAGCGAAGCAGGTACTGGTCAAGCATCGGGAGGAGCACTCCTGAGACGAATTGCCGCACGGAACGAGTTGGGAAGAGGAGAGGCGGAAAAGGCAGGGCCGCGGTCAGAAGATGAAGTCCTTCACGCGCGTGCCGGATGTGCACAGTGAACACGTAGAACAGGTCCACGAAGAACAGGTACAGTGGGGGGCCATTCCAAGCTTGCCTCCAGGGTGCCCTGGGTTTCTTGGGTTTCGATGGTTTTGCTATGGAAGGCGTGACGTTCCCACGCCAAAAGGCGATGGGCGTCCTGAGGTCTCGGGGTTGGGTCTCTTGTGGAAGGTTTCTCGTGGACTGGTGCCCACCGCAGACAGCTGGGAGCTGCAGGCAAGACGACCACCTTGGGCTCGGGAGGAGCTCGGCTTTCTGGGGCGGCTCCTTCGGCCCAGGTCGGGGGGGGGGACCACTCGCGGCCTTGGCGCGCCGTGGCAGGGAAGCCCCCCCCCCCCCTTCCGAACCTGATGTGGGGCCCCTCTTCGTGCCAGCGAGGGGGCTGCACGTCCCCAGAGGGATCGGATCGGGGCTGGACAGAACCCCCAACAGTGACACGTCGATTAGTGAATTGTCCGTTTTCGGTTCTCGAGAGGGCGCCGTGGCCGTTATTTTCCAGGCTTGCGCCCGCCAGGTTTGGGCCTCAGGTCGTTTTCGCTAAACCACGTTTTACTAAAGGGGGGTCTGTCCATCCCCGACTGCACGTCCCCAGAGGGATCGGAGACTTACTTGGCATGCTCGGGTGGCTTCTCGTGTCCTGTGGATGGCGGTCGGTTCCCGTACTCCGACGTGGGTTCGACGCGGGTCCGACGTGGATGCGGCACGGGTTCGACGCGTCCGGCGCGGATTCGGCGTGGATTTGACGCGGATCGCGTCGCGACGGGCCAGACAAGGCCCCCCGAGGATGCAGCAGACATAGAGGTCGAGGGCAGCCCCCGCGCTGCGTTTCTCGGATCCGCCTGGCCTGCTGCAGCCTCCCCCCCCTCGCGCCGCGCGATCCCCTTCGCTCGGCCTCGTGTAGCGAGCGCTTGCTGCCAATGCATGCCCGCCTCGTGTGCCGCCCTCCTAAGCGTTCTTGGCCAGGATCGCCGGTGTTCGGGTCCTGAACGATAAGATACACGCGATTTCCCACAAGGCTAGGGGCTGAGTTTGGCCAGAATCAGCTTCCCACTGGCTTCGATTTGGCAACGCCCGTTTCGATATGCAGCGCTCCAGGCGTTGACTCGGCTGGTGATTAATGTGGAATGCTACACGTAGTGCGAACGGCAGGTTCGCGCCGCATTGGCGCGGCGGCGACCCCACCGCAAGCGTTCAAGGCTGAACGCTGCCAGTGGCCAGGAACCCACCGAGCTCGAGCGATTGAGTTATTGGGAAGCCGCGATCGCTCAAGGCTGAACGATCCACGCGGTGACAGAAGCCAAAGCACAAGACGCCTCGACAGGAAGCAGCAGTATTCTGGTCACCCCTGGAGGCGCGAAGAGCATCGCGCTTCGCCTGTCGGCGGCCTGTACCGTAGAGCTGCCCTTCTCCAGGGTGGCCTCGCGAGGGCGCGAACGTAGCCGCGCGTCACGCAACACAGGGCGCGGTGCGCCAAGTTAGGTGACCTACAGTCGGGGCCCTGAAGAAGGAACCCTTTCCGTCGGGGAGGGGCTCCGCGTTCTTTGAGTGTCTCACAGCTTGCCTCAGGCTTTCCTTCAGCTTTCGGCAGGAAATCGAAGTTTAACTTATGGAAAAAAGAGGCCTCGCTAATATATATATATATATATATATATATATATATAAACAAACAAACAAACAAACAAAAAAAAAAAAAAAAAAAAAAAAAAAAAAAAAAAAAAACGCCCCGACTGCAGAGTGCTGGCTGCCCGTCAGGTGTCTCTGGCGGGGCGCCAGCGCCCGGCAGCACAGCTGTGCGATCAGCGAGCCCCTGCGAGCGCGGGCTTGTGGAGCCACCGGCCTCTGACGTCGTGTCACCGTGAGCGCAGCTTGCAAGGCATCGTGCCTCGCGGCCAGAGCACGGGCGTGGCAGTGATGCTCTCCTGCTGGGCAGTGCCCATCTCGATTCGAGCCGATTCGATGTCGAGTTCACCCGGCTCGATGCGATTCGATGTCGATGTCTGGGCGATCCGATGCGCTTTGATGTTCGCAAGACGTTGATGTGCGTCTTGGCGCAGCCGATTCGATTTCGACTTCGTGTAAATGCTACCCGATCCGACTCACACTCCGATTCGATCCGATTTTTCGATTCGATACTGTATGATTCTGCCGAAAGGGAGTCAGAGGAGTTGATGACATAATGTTTCGGGATGCCAAGGCAGGAGGAATGGGCACGCAGGTCAGCAGGGCCTTGACGACCTAAGGCTTTTCGTGATCCTCGCGGTCACCGAGTCGGCGCGGGAGGTGGACGCGCTGAGCCAGTACTTGCAGGACTGGAAGCTGCACGACGCCCGGCCGGCCAAGCTGGTGCAGGCAGGGGGGGCGGGGCTCAGGGACGTCCAAGAGTGGGGTGAGGAAATGGGGTGAGGATGTATCCCAGATCGGAGAGGCCCTACGGCCGGTGTCGGGTGCGGGACACATTTGGGTCAGGGACACGAATCCGTGTGTTTTTATTTGTGCTCCCATAGATTGGCCCTCTCCAGGGGCACGGATCCGTGTGTTTTTACATGTGCTCCCACCCGGGGGGGTATCTAACACATGGTTGTCCCGAGCTGGAGCCACGCCGCCGACCCTGAACGACGACGACAACGATGTGACGACCACGACGACCCTGAAGGACGACGACGACGACGACGACGCCCCGGGATTCCCCGGACCTCCCGATTGGCCCGCAGAGCCTTGGGGCACTCTACCCAGACGTGCGATGTCTTGGGCCGTCTTGGGGCGATCTGGGGGGCCTCTTGGACCGTCTTGGAGAAGCGGAATGGGGACCTCTTGGAGGCCTCTTGGTTCCTCCTGGGAGCCTCTCGGGGCCGAGGGCTCGGAATGTCCGTTGTGGTCCCTAGTCTGGGCACCCTCTTGGAGCCGTCTCGGAAGCCTCTTAAGGGCCGTTTTGGATGCGCTTGGGGCCGTCTTGGCGCCCTCTTGAGCCGTTTTGGGTCCTCCCTGAAGGCCTCTAGGGGCGATCTGTGGGCCTCTTGGGCCGTCTTGGAACGTCGGGAAGCGGAAGAGGCGAGAACGCCGAAATGCTTCAAAAACTGTATGGGAAATCCATGATTTTTCTTCTTGGGGCTCTCCCCCCTTGGGACCCCACCCGGACGGCCACCAGGACCCCTTTGGAGACCCCCCCCCCCCCTCCCGGCGGCAGAGAGATCAAAAGGAAGGGGTTTCCCTTGAGTGTGTTGCGACGTTGCTTAATTTCGTTGTGGCTGGCGCGCTTGAGGAGAAGGGCCCAGGGAAGGAGGGGTGAGCAGCGACGAGCACAGGGAAAGGAGATTGCAGGGAAAGAGGACGACAGAAACGGCGATGAATGACGGCGACGACGACTGGAACGGAGAAGCCCCTCACACACGCCGACAGGGTCGACGGATTTCATGGCCCCTCTTCTTTCAATACGTTCTTTGCCCGCTCTCCGTTCGTCCGCGCACATGCCTCGGTCCATGGTATGCTAAAACCCCTCTTGACGCCCCCCTCTTGGACGCCCTCGAAGCGGCGCAGGGCCCTGCCACGTGATCCGGAGGATCGAAATGGGAACGATTATTGTCGAGAGCAGTTTCTGTCGCTTCGGACAGGGCTCGCTGTCAGCGACGCCGCGGGCGTCGTCCATCTGACGTCGCCTGCCCAACAGCAGTCACTGTCGCGTTGGGGCAACATGTGATGTTGGGCATCGTCCCCTATGTTTGGTCTCCATTCCGGGCATGCCAACATGATGTCTTAAACAACAGTGAAACAAATTTCTGTGCGCGCCGAACTGCTGCTCTGCTTCTCTTGAACATGATATTGGCGTCTGACGCCTTGCGCGCCTCATGAAACTGCGCGCACAGCAAGCGCGATTGGTTTGCCCTTGGGTGTCCAGAGCGACCTGAAGCGAGACGCTCCAGCAATCTGGGAGGGCTTGGGGGCGCCCGCGACGAGCCCCAATGAGTGCCCAGTGGCCAGACGGGGTTTTGGACAGGTCGCGCGGCCGCCCAGCCATCCCCGGTCGGGCAATTCCTCCAATACAGTCAAGGCGGGCGTTTAAGGATCGATTCTCCTCCCCCTCCTCCTCCTCCACCGTCCAGCCTCATCCTGTCCCGTCCCCTCCTGCTGCTGCTGCTGCTGCTGCTGCTGCTGCTGCTGCTGCTGCTGCTGCTGCTGCTGCTGCTGCTGCTGCTCCTTCCCCCCTTCTCTTCCCTCCTGGGGCCAGGAAGCGGCCTGACTGCATGGGAGATTCCATCCTGCGCCATGGCGGCTTCGCGTGGGACAGCGCGCATCAGAGGGGCAGGACTCTGTGCAACTGGCCACCTGCGTTGCGCTCGCTCGGGCAGTTGGGAGAGCGATCGCATCTGGGCAGTTGGGAGAGCGATCGCTCGCGAGCGCTGTCTACTTTGCTTGACTCCCGCTCTCCCCCTGCTAGCACTCCTAGTCCTAGCAGTCTGAGTCGTAGTCGAGATCCACCCCTGGCTTCAGTTAGCTTGGACGGAGCACAAGCGTTGGAGGGCGGAGCGAAGGGCGCTGGGCTTGCTCTCGTGCATGTAGTGACGAGGTCGCCCCCTCCTCTGGCTGCGATGCAAGCATCCTTCCGCGCCTGGGGGGAGTGACTCGGCGAGGTTTGCTCATGGCGGCGCGCGGCGCGAGATGGAGGGGGAGCCACGCAGTTCTGTTTCGCTGGAAGAGTGGATCCAGCCGTGCCCTGCGGGCTTGAGGGAGGACGCTTCGGTGGGCGTGCATCGCCAGGCTGCGCTCGGCCCGCAGGGGACGTCGAGCCAAAGCTTGAGCCAGAACAGTGGCATGGAGGGAGAGAGAGAGAGAGAGAGAAAATAAAAAAAAAGGAAAAGGGGGGGAAACAAAAAAAAAAACTCACACACACACACACACACACACACACACACACACACACACACACACACACACACACACACACACGCACGCACGCACACGCACGCACGCACGCACGCACGCACGCACGCACGCACGCGCACACACACACACACACACACACACACACACACACGAACGCAAACAGACAGACAGAGGGAGGGAGAGAGAGAGAGAGAGAGAGAGTGAGACAGAGAGAGAAGGAGACAGAAAGGGGCGCTCGACGTGGCAGCGCAGGCCGGCCGCCGCCGCGCGCGGGGGCCCCCGCGAGGCCGTCGACGACAGCGAGGCGAGCCTCGCGGACGCCGTGCAGAGCATCGCCGAGGCCCCGCCCCCGACGCGCCACGTTTCCCTCCCCAAGATCTGGGCGCTGCTGCGTTCTCCAACGTACGTAACGGTTTCGACCGACATGCTCAGAGACGAATCCCGAGAGTCAGGGGAGGAGAGGCCACCCGGACGGGACGGTTGGGGTAGGGGGAGGGGTCAAGACACCTTCCCCGCCCGCAAGCCGTCTCGCTCACTCCCACCCGCCCTCCCAACACATACGTAGCACCCGAGTCTGGCCCGAGCCTCAGCATATTCAGCAGTCGTCTTTGGATGGGTAGCTACTGGGGGCCAATCCGCCGCCGCCACCGCCGCCTCCGCCGCCGCCGCCGCCGCCGCCGCCCGCCGCCGCCGCCGCCGCCGCCCGCCGCCTGCCGCCGCCGCCGCCGCCGCCGCCGCCGCGCCGCCGCCTGCGCCGCCGCCCGCGCCGTGCCGCCGCCGCCGCCGCCGCCGCCCCCCGCTGCCAAACCGCCGCAGCCGCTGCCGCCACCGCCACCGCCGCCGCCGTGCCGCCGCCGCCGCCGCCGCCGCCGCAGCCGCCGCAGCCGCCGTCGCCGCCGCCGCCGCCGCCGCCGCAGCCGCCGCAGCCGCCGCCGCCGCCAAGTGTACTCTGTATTGTTTTTGTGACAGGGATGGTGGGAGGGGGGCCGCATCGGGTTGGCTGCGCATGTTCCGAATTTGGAGGCAGAGTGTGTTTTGTATTGTTTTTACAAAGAATGGTGAGGGGGGGTGTTGTCATGGACCCTGGTTGGCCCCCAGTCGCCTGGGGGAGGGGGTGTTTATTAATAGGGAACAGTGATACAGTGATAAACCCTCCCCGAAGGGGAAGAGGGGCGTTTGGAAGAGGGAGGAAAGACGATCGTTAGACCACGTGCGCCCAGAGGGCTAGTGGGATTCATCTGGAGTTGTGATGGACGAGGAGGTGGAGAAGGGTCCACGAGACTGCTGCCAGCGCGAGCGTGCGGCTGAGAAAAAGAGAAGGAGAGTGGGGAGGCGGAGGCGGAGGAGGAGGCAGAGGATGGCGACCGGTCGGGGAAGGGGGAAGGCGGGAGCGGCGGAAGTGGAAGAGGTTGAGGGGGAGGGGGCGCCACGACGAGTGCGGGCTGGGCGAGTGCAGTGTGTCTTACCGAAGAGAACGAGGACGGTGGTAAGAAGGGGCAGGAACGCCATAGAACGAGCGGGTCCTGAGGGAAACGCGTCCTGAGATGTGTCACCGTCTTCGGGTTCGCGGGGTTTTCCCCGGGCCCCAGGACCGTCAAACCACAAGTTAGGATGGTGGTTTGGCCTCAGGGATCGCCCCATAGTCCAAGACCCGTTTCCGTCAGGACTTGTTATTTTCGTGCCAAGCGGAGGAAAGCAGGTGCAGGACGGGGAGAAAATGCGACGCACCAAAGTGGTTGATCAGCGGGGGGTATCAAAGCAGCCAGTGCCACTCTTGTTCCCAAGAGGATTATACGCAGCGGGCATCTTAGACGCGCAGCGAAGGATCAGCGCGAGTCAGCATCGTCGCACGCCCTCCCTGCCCGTCTCCGTCGGTCTTTGCCCAGTTCATCCCGTCTGGTCACCCTTGCGCCAAGGAGCTCATCAACGACCAGGCTCGGTGCCAGAAGATTGACAGCTTCCTGGAGGAGCAGAGGTTCAAGGCGGCCACCGCAGCGACACTCCACGCCCATGCTCAGGACGAGTACAGTCAAGACAATGAAGGAACGACCATTTCAGCTTCAGGAGGGGCTCTGGCCCATGGGCCGTTCTTCAGGTCTATGTTGAGTAATGTGTTCGTGGCCGAGGCTCGCCGTGGCCAGGAAGGCGCCGTTCCTCGTTCAGCGTTCCTCATGGCAGCACGGCTGCTGCGACTTGCCCAAGATGCCTTTGCATCCTTTCCTTGTCGGCCCACCCCTGGCCTGTTTCCGCTGGCCAGCTCGTCGGGATACCCGTGGGGCCGGGCTTGCACCCGTATCGCGCGTCCTCACCACAGGCTTCCTTTGCACGCTGCGGTTTCGCTTGGCGGGCCTGCGGCTCCCGCCTCGCAGGGGGGCGGTGAGGCAAGCTCGAGGGGGGGCCGGGCTGCGGGTGGCGGAGTGTGCCGCGTCCCCTCCGAGTGCGCGGGTGCACGTCGTCTGTTGTGGCTCATCGTTGTTGCCGCTTGGCGGCACGCTAAGAATGCGTATCGTCTAACCGATCCCCATCTCCAGCGGCGTGGCCTGGGCTCCACTGGCCGATTTACTCCCCTAGATGGGGATGTAGGCCGTCCCCTTCGGGTTCCGAGGGGCATCTCCCCAACTGGGGGGGGGATCTGGTGGGGGTCTCGAAGGGGATGGGGATGGGGACGGGGGTCGGCCAAACGATACTCCGAGAACGCATTCTGACGGTTCCGTCGGTTCCTCGAGGTGTTCCAGCTTCGGGTCCTTCTCCTCCTCCTCCTCCTCCTCCTCCTCCTCCTCCTCCTCCTCCTCCTCCTCCTCCTCCTCCTCCTCCTCCTCCTCCTCCTCCTCCTCCTCCTGTGTTTGCCAGCAGCTGCGCCTCGCCGAGGGCAAAAGCCTCCCGTCGCGGCGGCGCGCCGAGGCAGGAAGTCCGCGGGGAGGCAGGCTTGGCTCGGAGGGCGGCGGGGGGCTTCTCCGAAGCCCCGCCGGCTCTCCGAGAAGCCCTCTGCAGCCTCGGGTCGGGAGGGAAAGAAACACACAGACACAATGAATCGTCGACTCCCAGGAGAATATGGGAGAATAGGGGAAACGGTGGGGAAGACGACAACCCAGGAAGTATTGAAAATAGGGGGAATCCTGGGATGTGTGTGTGTGTTTCTTGGTGTGTCCCTGGGCCCCTTTTCTCGGAGCAGGCTCCGAAGGCTTCTCGGAAGGCCATCGACCTTTCTGCGCCTCCTCTGACTTCTCGCCCGGGCGCGCCGCCGAGGTACGGCCTTGGGCTCCAGTTCAGGAGCTTCAGGCTCTGAGAGAGCTGTCTCTCGAGACCATCCCCGCTGTCTTGTCTCGGGCCGGGCGAAAGGGGGGGATTGGGAAAGAGAGGGGGTACGAAATTTGCTGCATGCAGCTGGTTTCGGCCTCACCGAGGGGCCCATTCCTCGATACATAGCCGCCTCCGGCGCCGGGAGGCGCCGGGAAAATCAGCTACGTGAGCTGATTCTCAAACCCCTATTTTGCTATCCCCCCCTTTCGCCCGACCCGATTGTCGCAGACTCCCATCCTCGGGCTCCACCGTCTCCAGCTCCCGTGTCACATCCCCCGTCCGTCTCAGCTTGCTGTTCGCTCTCTGATGTGGTTGTGTTCGTTCCTCCTCCTCCTCCTCCTCCCCCTCCTCCCCCTCCTCTTCCTCTTCTTCCCTCTCTCCCTCCCCCCTCCTCCCTAATCGTCCCTCCTCCCTCCCCTGATCGTCCCTACTCCCTCCTCCCTGCCTCCTCCGTTTCGGCACAGACCGGGGACGTGAACCAGAGGAAGCCGAACCGTAAGTTCAGCATGCGCTATGCCCCTCCACCCGTTGCCGAAACGATTGCTCTGTCGTGCGGTCGGGTGATTTATATTCATGGGCGTGGAGCTCAGGTCATGTTCAGCCGTGGCATACTATGCACGCAGGTAGTGGTGACATATGTCTGATACAGTGATGGATCTTGCGATGGTATCAGAGTCAGAGCTGAAGGAGCACATGCACATGCTCATGCACATGCAACTCATTGGTACGTTTGTAACGTAAGTCGCACGGACAAACGACTACACGCAGAATTGTACGCATCATTGTAAATGCTAGAAGGCTAAGGGCGAGACAGAACACAGAACGAGGTTACGGAGCGGTTTCGACGACGAGCACGACGACAAAGACAGACAAAGATGACAAAGACGACAAAGACGACGACGTCGTCGTGGCCGTCGTGGCACCGTCGGACCTACTCCAAATCCCTTATTAATCGACCCCTCCCTAAAAGGTTCGACCCCCCTCCAAATGCGACCTAATATTCCAGACCCACCTCTTCGACGGGGCGACTTAATAAACCGGGCCCCCTAAGCTCAATCCAAAGAATGCGCTCTAATAAACCGGACCCCCCCATTAAAAAAAGGCGCCTCAAAAAACCGGACCCGGGGGACGATGGATAAGAAATTTGGAGTATTTAGCAGGGGTGGACAGAACCCCCAATAGTGACACGTCGATTAGTGAATTGTCCGTTCTCGGTTCTCGAGAGGGCGCCGCGGCCGTTATTTTCCAGGCTTGCGCCCGCCAGGTTTGGGCCTCAGGTCGTTTTCACTAAACCACGTTTTACTAAAGGGAGGTCCCGAATTTAGCAGGTCGACCCTACAAATGCAAGGGCGCCCATGTCATGTGCCCAGTCTGTCGTATCTCACGCCCTCTTCGTGCCTGGAGCACGGGCTGCCCTCGGAAGAGGCCCGTGTCCTCCCGCATGTCTTCTGCAGTCAGCCCCGGCTTCTGTGGAGGAGGAAGACAAGGGGGACGAGGAGGAGGAGGAGGTGGACGAGGAGGAGGAGGCGGACGACGACGACGACGAGGGCGAGGGCGCGGATGTGAGGGCGAGGACGAAGAGGACGAGGGCGAGGACGAAGAGAACCAGGAGGACCGGGAGGACGAGGACGAGGACGAGGCCGACGAGAGGCGAGGACGATCGCCGCCGCCGCTGCGGCAGGCCTGCCCTCTGCACGCTGCCGTCCGGGCCAACAACCTGGAGGCCGGGGGGCGCCGCCGCGCCCGGCGGCCGAAGGCCTGCCAGGATCTACCCAGCATCCTCCCTCCTCCCCCGCTTCCCTCCTCCCGCCTCCCCCGCTTCCCTCCTCCCGCCTCCCCCCGCTTCCCTCCTCCTCCTCCGCCTCCTCCTCCTCCTCCTCCTCCTCCTCCTCCTCCTCCTCCTCATCATCATCATCATCATCATCCACTCCTCCTCCTCCTCCTCCGCCTTCTCCTCCTCCGCCTCCGCCTCCGCCTCCTCCTCCTCATCCTCCTCCTCCTCCTCCTCCTCCTCCTCCGCCTCCCCCCCTCCTCCTCCTCCTCCTCCTCCTCCCCCCCCTCCTCCGCCCGGGGGGCATTCGGGGAGCTGGGCGCCGGGGGTCCTGGTCGGCGGCGCGCCCGGGGGCGAGGCGAGAGGAGGCAGGCCTTCTCCAGAAGGCGGCGCGGCTTCTCGGAGGGCCTCTGGCTCGGGGGTGGATAGACCTCCTACCCTGACACGTCGATTGAGGAACTGGCCGTTTTCGGCTCGCGAGAGGGCGTCGCGGCCGTCATTTTGCGGGTCCAGGTCCGTCGGTTTCGGTCCCAGACCGTTTTCACTAAGGGGAGGTCTTCTAAAGGGAGGTCTGTCCACCGCCGACAGGTCTTCTGGGGAGGTGTCGGCGCCTGCGGTGGAGGCTCCGGAGGCGTCCCGGGAGGCCCGAGGCTTCCCGAGCCTTACGCGCAGAGCCGAGGATCGAGTAGACGTAAGAGTGACCTCTCGCCGGAGTGACCTTCGGTGCGGGCACAGATGGGCCCCCAGATGACTGAAAACAAAGCACAGATGGTCCTCCAGATGGCTGAAAATAAAGCAGCAGCAGCAGCAGCAGCAGCAGCGGCTTGCCCGCCCAGGTTTGGTCTCCCCGCGGCCCCCAAAAAACCGCGCACCAAAGGTCACTCTTACCCAGGGTCACTCTTGCGTGTAGCCGAGAGGAGCCCATGAGCAAGCACGACATCCGTGACCCTAGGCCACCTTGATGGATTCGGATCAGATGGGGTCGGAGGATCGCGCCGCATCGCCGATGCATCAGCGATGCATCGACGGCGCAGGTCGATGCGGAGCCCGATTTTCTCCACGCCGACGTCGCCGATGCGTCGCCGACGTCGGCGAAGCATCGCCGATGCATCGCTGATACATCGGCGATGCATCGGCGATGCGGCGCGATCCTCCGACCCCATCTGGGAGGCCTCTAGTGATGTAGAACAGATACATCGCACAAAGGTCTGGCGCTGGGCCGCACGCGTTGCAAGCCATCCGCAGAATCGGTGGACGCACCGAGCGCTGAGCTGGAGCCCCAGTCTCCACGCGAGACAACAGCGTCACCGGTAGCATGGCGGCCACAGAAAGCGGTGGGACGACGACATTAGAAAGTGTTTGCAGAGCTCAGGTACGAACGTCAGAGACGAAGCCACGGGCAGCGACGCCAACAACGCCGTCCATCCACGACAATGCCTTCACTACGACAGTGACGATGTGAGATTGTTGACGGCTGCGGCGAACACGGCGAGGTGGGACTCGTTGGAGAGCGCTTTCATTGGATAGAATTGTTGAATGCGCAAACTCCCCAGCATAAACTACACCAATAACCGTTACCACCTTCAAGCGACAACACCACCGATCATTAGCACCGACATCATCGCCACAGCAGCACCAGCACACAGCAGCGGCTACCAGCGACCACCAACAGTAGCAGCCAGGACACCGACCGCACCAACTCGAGCCTGATCCGGTCCGTGAACATCTTCAGTCACGTCCTCCACGGTTTCCGGCTCATGCGCATATTGTTATTTGTGTTGTTTGCGCACTGGTTTCTCACGTATTTCGTCCTTGGTTTCTGTTTGCACACGCTATGAGGTCACGGCGTCACCCGCCCTGCCCAAATTGGCACGGGCACAGGAGGAAGAGGAGATGAGGAGGGAGAAGGAGGAGGAGGAGGAGGAGGAGGAGGAGGAGGGAGGAGGAGGAGTCGGTGGTGGTGGGATGCAGGCACGGCCAAAGTTCGCGAGCTCTCGTCGTCATGCCGGTCGCCCGCCGAGGCCTCCTGGTCTGTAGTGGGAGGGCCGAGGGCGGCGGCGGCGGGGGGGCGGCGGGGGGGCCCGCCTCGGAGAAGGAGGCGAAGGAGAGGGCCCCCGTCCAGGGCGCTCTCCTCCTGTGCGCCGCGGCCCTCGTGGCCTCGCGCCTGGGGCTCGCCTCGGAGCGCTTGGCCGCGATCGGGGCCAGCTGCTCGGGGGCGAGGGGCGGGGGGGGGGGGAGGCAGCGGCGGCGGCGGAGGCGGAGGGGAGGCGGCAGGAGGAGGTCCCAAGAACAAGTCCCCTACCTCTAACTCCTCCTCCGGTCCAGACTCGTGCACTGCGATATTCTGACCAGGGCACTCAGAGGCAGGTGTCGGGGCAGGAGTAGGAGCAGGAGTCGGATCACACGGGGAATGTGTAATTTGTGGACTCCATGAGCTCTGTTCTGAAACGGTGCGTCTCAGGATCAGCTCTTTTTGTCCTCGTCGCCTCGTCTAAGCGCACTGCAAAGTCGGGCGCTGGCTCGAAGTTCTGTGCATCGCAGATGTCAGGCAGGTAGAACCGTCGAAGATCATTCAACAGGTCGGCTTGATCGATGGCACTCTCGTCATCAGTCTCAGCACACGTGTCAATGTATATGCTGTGTACGGAGGACGCGATGGAAGCTGCCAATCGTGCAAACATTTCTGACGGGTAGGTTTTCTTGGAGCCTGTTTTCAAAACCGTACAGTCCCCGATCAGCTCCTTCCCTTGAAGAATTTTGTGTGCTCCCTTGCTGTGTGTGCACCAGCCGTTCCATGGGCCATCGCACAAGCGTCGCTGCAGGCATGCCATGCGCAGTCCTAGCAAGCGCGTGGGGGCTCGACCGTGCTCTGAGGGATCCCGATCAACAGACTGCAACGTGCATTGGCCGAAATCGGTGGCGACCACGATCGGAGACGACGCCAAGGCCTCAAGAGGTTCCCAGTGGAAGCTGCTGGGGGTTTCTGGCATCCAATGGGCCAGTAAGGAGTGCTCCATCCAGCCCGACGTCCCCGCAACCACGTGACAGCCCAAGAGATACACCAGATGTTGCAATAGTGTACAGTGCCGTTTTTAATACATGCTACGCGTGCGGATCATGTATTACAAATGCAGTGATTAGTATTAAAAACAACCATGAGCTTATGCATAAATTTATTCATAAATTGATCATGTGTTTAAAATCCTACATTCAAAAAAAAATCCCATGTATCAAAAATTGCCCTGTATTGCCTACGTGTAGCTGCAGCCCCTGACGCTCAGATACCCAAGGCACCCCCCATACCCAGTCATGTGTACGTAGGGGGGGAGGGCCCCCGGCCAGCCATCGTGCGGCACTCCAGGTCTCGCAGGGAGGCCCTGCCCCCGTGTTCCAAACCCTCCGTGCAAGTATGTGTTCTCCCCGTTTCTGGATGGTCGAAATTCGCATGAGATCTCCCATGTCAGGGCCGATCGCAATATCCACGGACAACACGACAATGTGGCATTGGGGTCGAAGGTGCTCTTGTTCGATCCAGGACTATGCGTCGCCTTCGCGTCGCCTGCCTGAGAATAAGTTGAGCACAAATGTCTCCGTCCTGTGCACGCGTACTGGAACCCATTCGGCAGTCACCCCACTGAAGTCTTGCGGCCGAGATCTGTAGCAGCGATCCCCAGACAGAGGGCCCTCCTGTTCTGCTGGCGGTGGGGGGGTCTTTAAAGATGGCAGTGTACGCTGGTAATGCATCTGGGCCGATCGCATATGCATGGGCACGCAGAAAATCTCTGGCCTCACTCTCCAAGAAACTCGTGGGTACGAGCACGGCTGCCAGATAGAGTCCGCCCACGGGGCGTTGGACGCGCGCTGGAAGGGCCGCTCGCCACCTGCCCGGTCCTGCGCGCCTCTGCGCTGCATGTTGGGCCGGGTCAGCCCCCCGCAGCTCCTCCGCGCGATCGGGAGGCAAGACAGCTCCGTGCATGAAGTATGCTAGCTGGCACTGGGCGGCATCGAATGCCAAGTGGTCCCTAAGAAGGCGACGGGGCGAAAAGGCAGCGGATCACGACGTGCATACCGATCCCTCCCCCATGAACCTGGATATGATATGTACTTGGCTGTAGTGTACGCGCACGATATGCTGCCTGGTGCTCTTCGCTGTGCTGCCCACATACTCACATCACATGCATCGAAGCTCACTGATGGGTTGCGGGGTGGGATGTATGGGATGGCTGGCATCGGTGATAGGAACTGGAAGTCCTGCTGGGCGAACAAGGTTGGAAAAAAATATGCTGCGCTTGCTGTGCAAATGCTGGTCGCGCAGCTGCTCCTGCGCGCGCTGCAAAAGTAGCGTGAAGAACCTTCTTCCATGCTGGCAAAGAGTGCAAAATGCGGGTCTCCCATGCTTGGAAGTCGTCTGTCGGATCTGGCACGTCCCGAAGCTGATAGTGCGTTGTCCGTATCCACTGCAAGTCTTGCAATACCCTGTGTAGCCAAGACTTCCCATGCAAGTGAGCCGCGCGGTACACAAGTGCAATTAGGCTGCGGAGCGCGGTTGTGCCGCGGCGAAGTAGACGACCCAACAGACAGTTTATGTACCCGAAGAATCGCATGTAAGTCGGCCCGTCCTACTCGAGCCAGGATTAGCCTGTCGGGGTCCGCTTCGGAGTCCGTCTGGGGAGCCTTTAGAACTTGGCGACATTTGCTCGTGATGAGGCGCTAGAGGCGCGCGCGCTGAGCTTCCGTACGTGAAGGGCCAGGTGCTTGCGTTATACAAGAGGCCCGAGACGATGAGCGCGTCCACGAAGTGCAGAGTGGCTTGTAGAGGGAGCCCAGTAGAGGAGCACAGATGCACCTGCGCAGTAGAGTACCCGATGTCTGTACCGATGCCTCGCGGTGGGCCAGCTCGGCCCAATAGCTTCATGTCCATCCAACTGCGTTCCCAAATGCGGGTGTGCTCTGACGGCCAGCAAGATCAATTCTCACAAGAGCGGCGACTGGATGCAAAAACGGCCTCGGCGATCCAACCATAATTCACGCCTGGCTCGCTTGGCGCCAATGCTTCGAAATTGAAACAGCACCTCTTGCCTTGCCAGCAGCAAATTGTAGCTGGAGGCCTCTGCGCACGAAGCTGGAGGCAACAGCCTCGGCAACCTTGGGCGCAGCAGCAAGCACGTGCGCGGCCTGTCCTATCACGACTACTGCTCCATCATCAAAGAAACAAACGTCCAAGCCGCCTCGCACTGCGTCGGGAGCCTGCTGCATCATGTCCGACATAGTGGCATGCAAGGATATGGGTATACGGAGGTCAAGCTCCAACTCTTGCAATGCTTGCTGTGCTTCCTGCCATGACATAATTGAACACCACATCTCCCAACCGCTGCCCGGGCACAGCCCCTTGTTTTGAGTACGCAATTGCAGAGGAATTTGGGCACCAAAATCAGTTGCCAGAGTAGCTGGACGCCGTGAGAGCTCGCACGCGACGCGGTATCCCTGCCTGCTCCAGGAGAGTAGGGTGGGAGGCCACGTAGGCCTCGAGGTCTTCAATGGCACCTGGTGGGAGGCCTGCAACTTGTAGGATGCGGTGTAAGTCAGCATCCGATGCACCTTACTGCATGACCAACTCCCTCACGGCACGGTAAAAGGCGGATATTGCGTCTAGCGTGAAGACTAAAGTTGAGAGCTTGAGCGCTTCTGCTAACTCCTGGAATGACCGAACGGCAAGTGCTGCTAAGTCTACTCCTCTGCCTGTAACCCCTCCGCACTGCGCACCTCCTGCATATTCTGGCAGCGCCTGGGCGAGGGGCGCACGGAACAGCTGCCTGTACTTCTCTCCAGGCTGCGAGGATATCATCACCGATCGGCGGTTCTTGCAAAGAGCTGGGGTGGCCTTCTTTTTCCAGATGTTCCAGCAGTTGCCCCCCTTCCACTGCAGTGGCTCCTCGATGCGCGCGCAGGCTCTGACCGCCAACTGGCGAAAGAGCGCTCCTGACGCTGTGGCGCAATGCCTAAGGAGGGCCCCAGGGACGCCGCCCAAGCTCGCGGCCGAGGGTTTAGCCGTTCGGCATGCTCTCTGATAAACGGCCAGGGTGGGCAAAATCAGGAGAGGAAAAAACACACAGACACAATTAATCCTCGATTCCCCCGAAAATATGGGAACATATGGGAAGTGGGGGGGGAAGACAGAAACCCAGAAAATCAAGGAAAATATGAGGAATCTGTTTATTTGTGTGTATCTATTTGTGTGTCCTGGGGCCCCTTGACAAGAGCACCTCACCATAAGGGATATCGTGGGTCAGGCCCCAGGGAACGGGGGGGAGGCTGCTGGCAAACGCGCCGGAGCCGGAAACGGGGACAGCGGCGCCCTAGCCTCCTCGGCGCAAAACGGCACGGCCAACGGTCCTCAGCCACGCGCAGAGGGGGGCGGGGGGAGGGGCAAGGGCCTCTTAGAAGCACTCCTGCTTCTCAGAAGGCGCGGGCCTCGTTTGCAGATGTAAGGCCGGCGCCTTCTCAGAAGCAGCCTCCTTCTGAGAAGCCCTCCCCCCTCCCCCTAATTACCCCCTTGTGCGCGCCGCCAAGGTCCGCGGCCTCCTCGCGGCCGCTGCCACGCTGCCGTCCTCGAGCTCCAGTACGGGAAGGGCTCTCGTGTTGACCTTCTTTGATGATCCGATCCCCACGGCACTTAGGTTGGTGAAAACCTCATCGTACTGCCTGCGGTCCCAGGCATCTGAGACCTCGTGCGCTAGGTCGGCGTAGTGATGGAGGGCATCCTGCACAGTGGAGTGTCGCATCAAGACTGCGGTGCGGAACAACAGCAGCTCTCGATGTGCCGGGACGCAGGCGCGCATTCCATGCGCATAGTCCCAGCAGCATGTGATGTAGTCCTATATGTTTGCATCTTTCCCCTGTGCCTTATGATCCGTGTGAGGCAGGTAGGAGGGAGGGGGAATGATGGCGTGGTCTGCCGATACCCCGCCTTTTCCCATGCTGTTGTCGCATGTCTGCTTCTCTGCACAAGGGAGAGGCCGTGGCTTGCGGTAGCAGTAGGCATGGCTGATGAAGCCCGCGCGTGTGGCGTACCAGCGTTGGCAAGCACGGGCAACGATCTGCGACCCCATGGCCGGTTGGCTCCTCTCGCTCTATCGGCGTGGGAGCAGTCGTTGAGTGCCACTGCCACGCAAAGAATAGGACACGCAGCATGGCACGGTGTGCTTGCCGCCCGAGCTTGCGGGCAAGGCGTCAGTAGATGCGTCTCTCGTCCTGGAGGCCCAATGTGGCGGTGCTGATCCACGACTGTCCAGGTTGCCTCCCACAGGCGGCGATGCGAATCGGGAAGGCCGTCTCGATAGCATGCCTCGCATGATCCTCGCACGCCCTCACATGGTCCGCACTGTGCACAGCGAAGTCGGGCTGTCGGAACTGCGCAAGCAGTTGGGCCGAGACAGGGTCCTGATACAGCGCAGGGTCATGCGGTATCTTGCATGGCCTCGGCGCTGCTGGCACAAACAGGGACGGCGGAAACAGCGGGCGCGCGGCCACCACGTTGTGGTCGGGCTGCGAGACTGCGAGGTTGATGCCGTGATCGACGCCCTGTGCTGGCACGCGTATGTCGGAAGAAACCACAACGTAGTCTCGCCGTTTGCGCGTTGTTCGGGCCCCAGGTGCCGTCCAAGTACCCGCAGAGCCAGAGGGATTCTCGTAGAACGTGGAAGGAGCCCACTGGGCTGTGCCTTGGAGAAAACGGCGAAAGCGTTGCCCTGGCAGATTTGCAGCCTCCGCACGTATGGACCCCGCATGTGTATCTGCATGCGACCCCACAGCACCATGGGCATCCACCATGGTGACGATGTGTTCTGCATGCCCCTATGTGTGGTGCGCGAAGTCCCTGCAGTTGTGACCACCGCTGTCGCATGCGCGGCGGGGGTCGGCGGGGGAGCGCAGAGCGTGTGCCGCACAGGCACGGAGCGGCAACGCTGGAGCCCGCACGGCTACAGTCACGAGATCTGGCACAGCATAGGGCACCCGACAGTGAGGGGGGTGAACCCTGCATCCTTGTTGGCATTCCCAGCTGGCTATGCTCCAAGGAGTGCACCCTTCCCCGCCGGGGTCGTTCGCCTGGGCTGTGCAACAGGAAACAGGGGCCCAGTTCGGAAGCACCTGTGCGCCCGAGGCGCGTCCCGGCAGTGCCTGCCATGAAGTAGGGTCTCTGCGCAAACTGTCCCGCTAGCTGCATCATGCGGCCAGTGGCGCTGAAGCCATGGAATTTCTGCTGAGCTTGCCTGGAACCTATGTAGGCTCGGGGGTCTAAGGAGAGCACGTTAGCCATGGCGGTCCAGCCCATGGCGTAGGCATGTTTGCCTTTGCGGGAGCTCTTTGGGATTGGAAGGATCTCCTGCATGCCAACCACTGGGGCCTGGGGCGTAGGAAGGGGCGCACCGTGGTTGGGTGGGTAGGCCTGTCGGGAGCTGGTGTCGGCATACAGTAACCAGAGCCACGGTAGATCCTTGGAGTGGGGCTCCTGTTGGATACGGGATCTCCAAATGGGCTCTACAAACTCAGGGAGCACGCTCACGGCATACAAGCGAGCAAGCGTGTCCACACACTCGTTCCATGGGTGCGCTGCGCGTCCATGTACGTCCTCATAAGCAATCACCACCACACACATGCGAACCACTTGCGTAAGACCATCAAGTATTAGTTTAGTGGGCAAAAGCACGCCGTATACGTAGCCCCCCGATACACGCAAGACATCTGTGTTGTCAATGTAGAAGCATACAGGGGCCTGACGACAACGCAAGGTAGCCTGCAAAATCCATGCCGTGGCCCATATAGCCGCCTCGAGCTCCAGTCGTAGGGGGGTCCTGGTGTCGGAAGCGTCCCAGCCTTGCAGTGGTCCTGCTAGGTATCCGATGAGGGAAAGCCCGACCGTGGTGACAACGAGTACACAAAACGCCCAAGCAGGCATGCAGTTGACCATGATGCTTAAACGCTCCTGACGTCGCATATGCGTATATCCTGTCATGATCAATCTTGGCCTCCGGGTTGAAAGGGACAAGGTCACCGAAAGCCGATATAGTTGTGGATGAATGCCAGAATTGCGCCCGTGAAATCAAATCAGTGGAAAGTTGCATGGGCCATTTCCTCTCAAGCATTTGCTGTGTGCTTTGCAACGAAGGTATAGGCGAGTAGGGCGCTCCTGACATGGATCCAACTTGAGAGCCGTGTATGATTGTCCGTATGCGTATCGTCGTCCTTGGGGATGGGTGATCGGAAATCAAGGGCCGAGACGCTTCTGACACGGCCCCTAGCGAAAAATTGGCGTGGCAGAGGCAGCGATGGTCTCACTGAGCGTGAGCTCACTGTCGCTGTCATCTTTGCCAGCCATCAGAGCCTGCGCATCGTCATCCTGTCTGGCTGCGGCCTCCTCATGGGCTTCACGCTGCGCCACTGCGGCTGCGCCTGCGCCCAATGTGCCTTCACTTGCAGGCCCTGTACGCACGGCCTTGGCGCGGGCCTGGCCACTGTCCTCGCCGCGCTGCGCTGCCCGCGCAAGGCCGCAGCCATGCGGGCGCGCCCAACCTGCTTGGCCACGGGGTCGGCGACGGCCTGCTGGCTCTTCTTGATCGGCTGCACAGCGACTGCCTGCTGCGCTTACTCAACTGCGGCTTGGCGTAACATGTTCATGTCCTACTTCTCCAAGCGGAGTGTGCTGATCTCGGTCTGCAGCGTGGTCACTATTGTCTGAAAGTTCTCCATGTTGGCGAGCAGTTGCGCGTTGCTCTGCTGGAGCGCTGCAAGCGTGGCGGGCACGGAGATGTCATTCGATGCGGCAGAGGTGGCCTCTCCAGGCGGTTGAACCTGCTGACGAGGCGCGGCGGTAGCCCGAAGCGGCGTGGCCGCTGCTGCTTCAGCCTGTGGAGCTCGTTCCCCTACTGATCCTGGCCAGGTGGTCTGTCCAGTTCGCGGAGGCGCCCCCCGCAGCGGCGGAGGCCTCTGAGGCCTTACCTGGCGACTGCGTGTGCTGAGCTCGATGATATGGGCGAAAGTGTGTTTGTGCACCATCGCCATCTTCCATGCGAGTATCTTCATCATGTGCGGCTGCTCCATGTGAGGTTGCCCTGAGGGCTGTGACTGGCAAGGTATCCTCCAACTCCTCAAAGTGTTCTAGTAACTGCTCGGTCTGCGAAGCTTCCTCCTGCAGATGTTGACATTGTAGCTCTGCTGCTTCTACCTGCTCGTATAGGAGGTTCAACTTGGCTGTGGCATCTGTCAGGCGCTTGCGGCATCTGTTGACAAAGAGCCGCTGCTTGGTCACACGTGCTTGTGGTGACCGACTGTGCATGAGCTGGTATAAGACTACGGCGCACTCTCCTTGAAGGTCAGTGATCTGCTGCTGGTCAAGGTTGAGCGCGTCCGCGCAGAGGATCCGCCTCTCCAGGGATTCCATGGTGGATGAGAGCGCCTTGCGGTACTCTCCCAGCTGTCGAGGATCTTCTGGAGGGTCGCGCCACCTCTTGTGGTTGGTGGCGACCTCGGGTGCTGCTGGCATCAGCGGGATGAGGTCGTCCTGCACTTCCTGCGTCTCATCTGGGGGCTGCTTGCCAGGTCTCCTCTTGTCGGCGGGGATGATGTCGGCCTGCGTGGCACACGAGAGGACGAGCGTGCTCTGCATGGCCGATCGCTGGACTGCTGGGAGGCTGGGGGATGGCACCGCTTGCAGGTGGGCGGCTCCCAAGGGTTGTGGCACGCGCACGCTGGGCACTCCCACCACTTCTTGTAGCCCTGCTGCTGCGGCGGGCGCTGCCAGGGGGGCCGCCCGCGGTCCTCCTCTGCCTCGAGACTGGGACGGTCGTTGTCCCTGCCGGCCCATCGAGCTGAAATGATGCTGAGGGAGGAGGAGGAGGAGGAGGAGGAGGATGTCGAGGGAGGGAGGAGGAGGAGGATGTCGAGGGAGGGAGGAGGAGGAGGAGGAGGAGGAGGAGGAAGAGGAGGAGGAGGAGGAGGATGTCGAGGGAGGACTCGTGTGCCCGACTCCAGCGCCTTCACTTCACCCGGCCCTTGGCTCGCCGCCGACTGCGGCCTCCTTGGATGATCGGAGGGAGAGCTCCGGAGGCGACGATACGGGCGCCCATTCAGGAGGGAAACAGCACACAGACACGCAGTGACTCGTCGATTTCCCAGAAGGTATGGGACAATGTGGGAAGCGGGGGGGAGGACAAAGGCCGAGAAAGTGTGGGAAAATATGGGGGGAATCCTGTCATTTGTGTGTGAATCTATGTGTGTGTCCCTGGGCCCCTTCCTGGGCCCCTTCAGACTAGCCCAGGGGCGGGCATTACACGTATTCGCGGGGACTCTCACCGAAGGCACGCATCATCGGCGCCTTTGGATGCATGTGTTGCTCTCCCCTGGGCTGGTCGCCCCCGTTGTCACCCCCGAGAGTTGCGCAAGTTCGGAGTCGACTCGGGGTCTAAGGTGGCCCAGCACTGGTTCTGGCCAGCAGTTCGGGAGGGAGTCTCGCTTCGTTCGGTCTCGGGGGGTCGCTTCTGGGCCCCGGGACCGGCAAAAACGGCTCCAGGGTGAAAGATTGCACCAGATGGACCCAAGGAGGGGTCTGGGGATTTGCCCTTTATCCCCTCTTCCTGACAGATCTCCACAGGGCCCATCCAGTTCAGAACCCCCCGGCCGCCCCCGAGCGTCAGCTGCTTGGTGCAAGGGACGCTTCGCGCTCCCGCCAGAGCGCTCTTCAGCCAAAGATCTGCGACGGCATGCTCGTTCCTCCTGCTCCTCCGCCTCCGCCTCCGCCTCCGCCACCTCCTCCTCCTCCTCCTCCTCCTCCTCCTCCTCCATTTCTTCTTCCTCCTCCTCCAAATCCTCCCCCTCATGAGAAGCTCTTCCTCCTCCTCCTCCTCCTCCTCCTCCTCCTCCTCCTCCTCTCCTCCTCCTCCTCCTCCTCCTCCTCCTCCTCCTGCTCTCCTCCTCCTCCTCCTCCTCCTCCTCCTCCTCCCCCTCCTCCTCCTCTTCTCCTCTCCTCCTCCTCCTCCTCCTCGTCCTCCTCCCTCCTCCTACTCCTCCTCCGCCCCCTCCTCCCCCTCCTCCGCATCCGCATCCGCCTCCTCCTCCTCCGCCTCTGCAGCCTCCTCCTCCTGCTCCTTCTCCTCCTCCTCCCTCTTCCTCTTCCTGCCTCCATCCCCTCCTCATCATCACCACCAGCATCAGAATACTCATCACCATCATCATCATCATCATCATCATCATCATCATCATCATAATAATAATAATCATAATCATCATCATCATCAGCAGCAGCAGCATCATCAGTATCAGCATCAACATCATCATCATCAGCATCAGCATCATCATGAGCAGCAGCATCGTCATAATCATCAGCATCAGCATCATCAACAGCATCAGCATCATCATCGTAATGGCATCGTCGCATTAATCTTCTTCGTCACCAACATCATCAATAACATCATCATAATTCCCAATGTCATTATCACGAGCATCAGCATAACCATCGTCATCACCATCATCAGCAGCATCATCAGCATCATCACCTCCTCCTCCTCCTCCTTCTCCTCCTCTTCCTCCCTCTCCTCCGCCTCTGCCTCCCCCTCCTCCTTCTCATCTTTCATTCCTCTTCCATAAGTAACTCCTCCCTTTCGCACCCCAAGGCTGGTCGAAAGGGCGGGCTGGGCGTTTCGCTTGAGACTTCTTCACCACGTATGACCCTGAAGTTCACAACTTTAAAAATGGAGGGCGGGTGGTTTTCAAAATGTGGTTCTCGTCTTAGCGCAGCGCACACTCGCTGTCAAAGTTTGCAAGAGTTCCACGGACTGAGGGCAGGTGGTGTTCAAACTGTGGTTCTCGCCTTAGCGCCGCGCACATTCGTGTTAAAATGTTGCACGAGGTTCGCGGATTGACTGCGGGTGGTTTTCAAAATGTGTTCCTGGCCTTAGCGCCGCGCACATTCGTTTTAAAGGTTCGCAAGAATTTCACGGATTGAGGGCGGGTGTTTTTCAAGATGTGGTTTTCTTTTCGGCACCGCGCACATTCGTTTTCAATGGTTACCAGATCTTCATGGATTGAGGGCGGCGCGTTTTCAATATGTGGTTCTCGCCTCAGCGCCGCGCACATTGGTCTTGAAATGTTGCAAGAGCTTCACAGATTGAGTGCGGGCGGTTTTCAAAATGTGGTTCTCGCCGTAGCGCCGCGCACATTCGTCCTAAACGTGTGCAAGAGCTTCACGGGTTGAGGGCGGCTCCGTTTCAAAATGTGGTTCTCGCCTTGGCGCCGCGCACATTCGTTCTATTGGGCTGTTAACATTAAGTTCTAAATGTATGAACTTAGACTTAGGTTCCAGGCGTTAGAAGTGCGAACTTATACATGCCAATGGGTTCAACCGTCCATCGTGTCATGGACACCAACACGGTTGTCGGGATAGGGCTCGGTTGTCGAAGTTGTGCAACTTTTTGGGTGGAGATCCGACGACTTGTGCAGCCTTTCTTTATTGGGAGCCGATGAGTTGCGCAACCTTTTTTGATGGGAACCGATGAGTTGTGCAACCTTTTTCGTTTTCACTGTTTGGGGCCGATTTCCGAATTTGTGCAGCCTGTTTGATTGGGAACCGATGAGTTGTGCAACCTTCTTGCTTGGGAACCGATGAGTTCTGCAACTTGTTTCATTTTCTCAGGTTGGGCTCGGTTTCCCAACTTGTGCAGCCTTTTTGATTGGGATCCGATGAGTTCCACAACCTATTTTGATTGGGGGCCGATGAGTTCTGCAACTTGTTTCGTTTTCTCAGGATGGGGTCGGTTTCCGAACTTGTGCAGCCTTTTTGATTGGGAACCGATGAGTTGTGCAACCTATTTTGATTGGGGACCGATGAGTTCTGCAACTTGTGTCGTTTTCTCGTGTTTGGGGTAGGGTTCCGAACTTGTGCAGCCTGTTTGATTGGGGACCGATGAGTTGTACAACCTTTTGGGTTGGGAACCGGTGAGTTGTGCAACCTTTTGCGTTTTCTCGGCTTTGGGTCAGTTTCCGAATGTGTGCAGCCTTTTTGATTGGGGACCGATGAGTTGTACAACCTTTTCGATTTGGAACCGATGAGTTGTGCAACCTTTTTCGTTTTCTCGGTTTCGGGTAGGTTTCCGAATTTGCGCAGCCTGTTTGATTGGGGACCGTTGAGTTGTGCAACCTATTTTGATTGGGAACCGAAGAGTTGTGCAACCTTTTTCGTTTTCTCTGTTCGGGGTCGATTTCCGAATGTGTGCAGCCTGATTGCGTGGGACCCGCTGAGTTGTGCAACCTTTTTCGTTTTCTCGGGTTGGGGTCGGTTTCCGAGCTTGTGCAGTTTTTGTTGATTGGGAACCGATGAGTTGTGCAGCCTTTTTGATGAGGAACCGATGAGTTGTGCAACTTGTTTCGTTTTCTCGGTTTGGGGATTGGTTTCCGAAATCGTGCAGCTTGTTCGATTGGGATCAGATGGGCTGTGCAACCGTTTTTGATTGGGAACCGATGAGTTGTGCAACGGTTTAAGATGTCTTGGATTGGGGTCGGTATCCGAGCTTGTGCAGCCCTTCTGATTGGAGACCGATGAGTTGTGCAACTTTTTTGATTGGGAACCGATGAGTTGTGCAACCTTTTTCGTTTTCTCGGCTTGAGGTCGGTTTCCGAACTTGTGCAGCATCTCTGGTTGGGAACCGCTGAGTTGTGCAACCTCTTTGACTGGGAGCCGATGAGTTGTGCAACCTTGTTCGTTTTCTCGGGTTGGGGTCGTTTTCCGAATTTGCGCAGCCTTCTTGATTACTAACCGATGAGTTGCGCAACCTTTTTTAAAGTGGGAGCCTATGAGTCGTGCATTTGTTTCGTTTTCTCGGGTTGGGGTCGATTTCCGAACTTGTGCAGCATTTTTGATTGGGAACCGATGAGTTGTGCAACCTATTTTGATTGGGGACCGATGAGTTCTGCAACTTGTTCCGTTTTCTCGGGTTTGGCTCGGTTTCCGAAGTTGTGCGGTTTTGTTGATTGGGAACCGTTGAGTTGTGCAACCTTTTTTGATTGGGAACCGATGAGTTGTGCAACCTTTTTCGTTTTCTCGGGTTATGGTCGGTTTCCGAATGTGTGCAGCCTTGTTGATTGGGAACCGATGAGTTGTGCAATCTTTTCGATTGGGAACCGATGAGTTGTGCAACTTGTTTCGTTTTCTCGGGTTGGGGTCGGTTTCCGAGCTTGTGCAGCCTTTTTGATTGGCTAGAGCTGGAAACCGATGAGTTGTGCAATCTTTTCGATTGGGAACCGATGAGTTGTGCAACCTGTTTCGTTTTCTCGGGTAGGGGTCGGTTTACGAGCTTGTGCAGCCCTTTTGATTGTGAACCGATGAGTTGTACAATTTTTGTTGATTGGGAACCGACCCCAAATCGAGAAAACAAAAAAGGTCACACAACTCATCTGTTTCAAAAAGGTTGCACAACTCATCGTTTCCCAATCAGAAAGGCTGCACAAGCTTGGATACCGACCCCAACCCGAGAAAACGAAAAAGTTCGCACAACTCATCGGTTCCCAATCGAAACGGTTGCACAACTCGTCGGTTCCCGATCAAAAAGGCTGCACAAATTCGGAAACCGACCCCAACCCGACAAGAAGAGAACGGTTGCAGAACTCATTGGTTCCCAATCAAAACGGTTGCACAATTCATCGGTTCCCAACCAAAGATGCTGCACAAGTTCGGAAACCGACCCCAACCAGAGCAAACGAAAAAGGTTGCACAATTCATCGGTCCCCCATCAAAAAGGTTGCACAATTCAGCGGTTCCCAATCAAAAAGGCTGCACCAGTTCGGAAACCGACCCAAACCCGAGAAAACAAAACAAATTGCACAACTCCTCAGCTCCCAATTAAAAAGGTTGCACAACTCAGCGGTTCCCAGCCAGAGGTGCTGCACAAGTTCGGAAACCGACCCCAAGCCGAGAAATCGAAAAAGGTTGCACAACTCATCGGTCTCCAATCAGAACGGCTGCACAAGCTCGGATACCGACCCCAATCCAAGACATCCCAAACCGTTGCACAACTCATCGGTTCCCAATCAAAAACGGTTGCATAACCCATCTGATCCCAATCAAACAAGTTGTACGATTTCGGACACCAATCCCCAAACCGAGAAAGCGAAAAAGGTTGCACAATTCATCGGTTTCCAATCAAAAAAGTTGCACAACTCAGCGGTCTCATGTCATAAAGACTGCACAAATTTGGAAAACGACCCCAACCCGAGAAAAAGAAAAAGGTTGCGCAACTCATCGGTTCCCAGTCAAAAAGGTTGGTTGCACAACTCATCGGCTCCCTTAAAAAAAAGCTGCACAAGCTCGGACGATCCCAACCCAAGAAAACAAAAAGGTTTCAGATTTCATCGGTTCCCAATCACAAAGGCTGCACAAGTAGAAGGGCAAGTAGAAGTGCCCAGTCGTACGCCTCCGCCAAGTTACGCAATTTACGGGCCGGGCGCTAAGTTACGGCATTCAGTAATTTCCGAAGTTGAATTTAGATCGGGGGGCGTTAACATGCCAGTTCTAAAAGTTTGCAAGAGTCTCGCTGGTCCTAAGGGTGTTTTGGACAGTTCATGATTGTCTGGGCGCAGCAGTTCCGTTGATTCGCGGTGTTGAAGTCCCAGGAATGGCGTTCTGGTCCGATTCAGAATCGCCAAGACCTCACAAGCAGGGCAATTTGTGGCGTGAAAGTCCTGAGAATCGTGTTTTGGCACGCTTCCGGATTTTTACACGGCTGTCCCCCACAGGGGCTATGTTTTTTTAAGTGGAGATGATTTGTTCGAAGGGCCTATCAAGAGGGAGCTTGGAGGGAGTGTGAAATCCAACATCGCTGATGAGTCTTGGATTTACATTGGTCCTCTTCCTCCTGCTCCTCCTCCTTTTCCTCCTCTTCCTCCTCCTCCTCCTCCTCATCGTCCTCCCTCATCCCTCATCTTTCATCCCTCCTTCATCCTCCCTCCTCCTGCCTCTCGCCTCCCGCATCCCTCCTCCCTCCATCCCTTCCTCCCTCCTCCTCCTCCTCCCCCTCCTCCTCCTCATCCTCATCCCCCCGCCTCCTCCGCCTCCTCCTCCCCTTCCTCCTCCTTCTCCTCACCCTCCTCGTCCTCCTCCTCCTCATCCTCCTCATCCTCCTCCTCTTCCTCCTCATCCTCCTCCACCTCCTCCTCATCCTCCCTCTTCCGCTCCCTGCTCCCACCTCCTCCTCATCCTCCTCCTCCTCCTCCTCCCCCTCCTCCTCCTCCTCATCATCAACATCAACATCGTCTTCATCAGCATCACCATCATCATCATCAGCATCATCATCATGATCATCACCATCACCATCACAATCGTCACCATCATCATCAGCAGCATCATCGCCAGCAGCATCAACAGCTGTATCATTATGAGCAGCAGAAGCAACAGCATCATCATCATCATCATCAGCATCATCATCATCGTCATCAGCAGCATCATCCTCAGCAGCAGCAGCCGTAGTCGTCTTCTTTCTGCGTCTCGTTCTCTCTCTCTCTCTCTCTCTTTCTCTCGCTCTCTCTCTCTCTCTCCCTCTCTCTATCCCTCTCTCTCTCTCTTTCTCTCTCTCTATATATAGATGCATCTCTCTATGTGTACATACACAATAGACATATACATATCTATATGTGTGTATCGCACGATCTCTCTCTCTCTCTCTCTCTACATATATATATGGGTATATCTCTCCTTCTTTACATATATATAAGAAGATATAGCATTAGTTACATCCCTCTCTCGCTCTCTCTCCCTCCCTCTCTCTCTCTCTCTCTCTCTCTCCCTCTCTCTGCTCCCATCCCTTCCGCCAACCTTAAGAAAAATCCTGTCGCACCCCGACAAGTGTCGGTAGGGCGAGCGGGCTGTTTCGTGAGAGAGTTGTTCCCATAGTTTGATCAGTGCGTTGAACATTTGCGACAGCTTCGTGGATGGAGGGCGGGCCGTTTTCAGCATATGGTTCTCGCATCAGTGCCGCGTACGTTTGACTTGGCGTCGCTCGGGCGTGTGCAGTTTTCCTTCGGCGAGGACCATCGAGGAGCATCCCTGATCAGTTGGCGGAAAAGCCACGCACGAAACCAAAAAACGCACAGGGAATGGACGTCCGAGCGATGGCCAGCTGATAGAAACATATGTTGAAGCTTTACGGGTAGAGCGCGGCTTTTTTGTCAAAATGTGGTCATCGCTCCTAGTGCCGCGCAGATTCGTTTCAAAGAAGTGCAAGAGCTTCGCAGATGGAGGGCGGTACGTTTTCAGACCGTAGTTCTCGCTTCAGCCCCGCGCACAATCGTCTGCAAGAGGTTCACGATGGTTGACGTCCTGGCACGATATGGGATTGTCAGGGTGTAACAGATACGTTGATTCGCGGCGTTGAAGTCCCAGGAATGGTGTTCTGGCACGGTTCTGGACTTTCAGACGTTGTCTTCCAATTTGGCATTCCATTTACTTCTTCATAATATCCTATGACGAGGAAATGTGGAGGGAGGGTGTATTGAAACATCGTTGATGGGTCTTGGGTTCTGCTCCTCCTCCTCCTCGTCCTCCTGCCCCCCCCCCCTCCTTGCTCCTCCATCCTCCTCTCCTCCAGTGGTTCCCAGCACCCTCGCTCCTCCTCTCCTCGTCCTCCAGGCCTCCCGACCAGCGCCGCGCCGCCGGGAGGCCGTGGAGGCGCTGCTGGAGTCGGGCGCAGATCCCCGCGTTGAAGATTCGGACCGCCAGAGGAGAGGGAGTAGGAGTAGGAGCAGGAGGAGGATAAGGTAAAGGAGGAGGAGGAGGCGGAGGAGGAGGAGGAGTTGGCTTGGGACTTCTGCTCCCTTCCCCCCGACAGGAGGAGGAGGATGTCAGCCAGCAGGGAGCGGGGTTCAGCGCAAACAAGGCTCAACCAGAGCGCCAGATCCTGCAGGATCCTGCAAAGCGGGATTTGGGTTGACGTTGCCAGCTTGGGAGGTGGCCTTGCATATTGGTTGAGTTGGGTTTGGGAAGTCCCCCGACATTACCTTACGACGTACCCAACCCTTGCTACACATGTGGCGACGATACACAGGACCGATCAGCACAAACAAACATGCTGAAGGACCCCCAGGGGCTCACGAAAGTGGCGACAGTTGCGCACTTCGCAGCCCCCCAGGGAGCCGCGAGGTCTCGACTGGGTGCATTTACAACTCCACTCCGTTGGACCTCCCAGGGGCCCACAAACGTGGCGACAGTGGCGCACATCGCAGCCCCGAGGTCTCGCCTGGGTGTGTTTACAACTCCACCCTGATGGGCCTCCCACGAGCTTACGAATTTAGCGGCAGCGGCGCCCTTCGCAGCCACCCAGGGAGCCGCGAGGTCTCGGCTGGATATGTTTATAACTCCATTGCGCTGGGCCTCCCAGGAGCCCACGAAAGTGGCGACAGTGGCGCACATCGAAGCCCCCCAGGGAGCCGCGAGGTTTCGATTGTGCGTGGTTACAATTCCACCCGGTGGGCGTCCCAGGAGCCCACGCGAGTGGCGACAGTGGCGCACATCGAAGCCCCCCAGGGAGCCGCGAGGTCTCGGCTGGGTTTGTGTGGTTACAACTCCACCCCGCTGAGCCTCCCAGGATCCCGCGAAAGTGGATGCAGCGGCGCACTTCGCAGCTCCCCAGGGGAGCCGCGAGGTTTCGACTGTGTGCGCTTTCATCTCCACTGCGCTGGGCCTCCCAGGAGCCCACGAAAGTGGATACAGCGGCGCACTTCGCAGCCACCTAGGGAGACGCGAGCCTTCAGGAATCCCCAGAAATCCTTCACGCATCCTCAAGAATCCGTTTGGATGTGTTGAACCTTTTCAGGAATCTTCAGGGATCCGCAAGAGCCCTTCAGGAATCCTCAGGAATCAGCAAGAGTCCTTCGGGAATCCCCCCAGAGTCCCCCAGGAATCCGCAAGAGTTCCTCCAGAGTCCTTCCACAGTTCCGCAGGAATCCTTCTAGAATCCCTGCAGGAATCTCTCGGGAATCCGAATGGAATCCGGCAGGAATCCCGCACGAATCCGTCAAGAATCCTTCCGGAATTTGGTAGGAATCTCTCAGGCATCCTCAAGAATCTTGCAGGAACCCCTTCTGGGAATCTTCCCAAATCCTCAAAGAATCTTCAAGAATCCTTCCGGGATCCTCAGGAATCCTTCTAGAATCCACACGATTTTTTTAGTTATCTTCAAGAATCTTTCAGATATCTGCAAGAATCTGTGAGGAATCCTTAAGAATCCTTCGGGATCCTCAAGAATCTGTCCGAATTATTGCAGAATCTTCCGGGATCTTCAAGAATCCTGCAGGAATCTTCAAGAATTTTTCGGGGATCGGCAAGAATCCTTCAGAGATCCTTTAGGATCCTTGGAATCCTCAAGAATCCTTTCGGAATCTTCAAGAATCCACCAGGAACCCCAGGAATGTTTCAGAAATCGTCGAAAGTCCCCAAGATCCGCAAGATCCTTTCGGGAATCTTCTAAAGTCCTTCAGGAGTCCACAAAGCACTGGGGAGCTGAAGCAAGCTTCCCCGGTTGCAATATGGCGTTCGCCATGTATGATCACAATAAGAATCCTCCACGTTGCGACAAGTCCGCTTCCAGTGGTTGTAATCGGTCCGAAGTGGTTCGTGAACGGTCTGAAGTGGTCGGAGTCGGTTTTATCATGGGGGGGGGCCCTTCCTTGAGGGACGCTCCCCCCTCCCCGCCCTGTTCGAACCCAGAGGGGGGGGGCCTGCCAATGGCGATGACGACGACGACCACAACCACCACTACGACGACCACGACGTCGACGACGACGACGACGACCACGACTAACCGCTAATGGAATTGTGTAAAAGCAGGATCGATATTTAGCAGGGTTGTTTTCAGACTGGCTCGAGCCTTGATCGGATTATATAAACGCTTCGATCACTCCGCCGGCCCATCTTGCATCACTGGTGTTATATGTTTGTGTGTTCGTGGCGAGCGAAAACGTGAAAGAGGAGAACGATGAGGAGGAAGACGGGGGGATGAGGATGAGGAGGAGGTATCTGGAGAGCTTGTTGTGTCAAGCTGAAGCGAAACTGGTCATGGACAAGTCGCCTCTTTGGGAGTCGTTTGGGTTCTTCTGGGAGGCCTCTCGGGGGCCTTTTGGCGGTGCGCTTCCGTTGGAGGATTGAGGGTCGCTGACGCAGAGAATCTCTAACCGCGCCACTCGGCATCAGCATCGGAATCGCCGTTGGACTCCTCGCCCGAATCGTCGTCTGCGTCGTCGCCGCCGTGGTCGGAGCTCGAATCGCAGTCGAAGTCGCCTTTCATTGTTGCCGTCGTCGGAATCGCCGCCGTCGTCTTCGTCGTCTCCGTCGCAATCGTCGTCGTCGCCAGAGTCGTCTGCGCTCGTCCCGCGACCCTTCGCGCCAAGCTGAGCAGCCTGGGTGCGTTCGCGATCGGCGCTCGAGTGACGCTACCTCCTCCTCCTCCTCCTCCTCCTCCTCCTCCTCCTCCTCCTCCTCCTCCTCCGCCGTTGGCCCCTTTCGCGCCTTAGGCCCTCTGCGCGGCTGCCCCAGAGTGGGCGGGTGGCGGCGGGGAGGGCGGCTGACATATTCGAATGCATCATATAAGGTTCAGTTTACAGACGCAAGCTCGTGTAAGCTTGCACGAGCTTGTGTATGTGTGAGCCTGTCTGCGAGGGCGAAACAGGGGGCGCCGTTCCTGCGGGGCCCGGGAGGCCATCCAGAGGCCCCAGGCGCCCACCCCAGGAAGCCCGTCCTCGGGGCCCTGCAGCGACCAGGATGCCGCCAGGACCCGCGCCCCGCGAGGGGTCGAGGTGGTCATGCGAGGCCACGAGCAAGTGTCTCGTTCGATCTCTGGCAGCCCTTGACAAGCCATGCAAGGCCCCTAATGAGGTTCTCGCTCGCGCTATGGAACAGCATGGCTTCGCACGAAATCCGTAAGACACGTGGTTTGAAGGGGGCGGTGGGCATTTCTGACCAGATTCGTGTTTTCCGGGGCGCTTGCGCTCGAGCGCCGAAGGGTTTGGCGGTTCCCGGAGCACTCTTGGGTTAGTTGGAATTGCATTGAAAGGTTTGGCGGTTTCAGGAGCTTTCGGTAAGCAGGGGGATGCGTGGCTCGCAGCGAAGATGTCGAGTTGACCTGTAACTCTGATGGGGAAGGGCAACGGCAGTTGCTGCCGCAAGGAGGCCCACAGAACGAGTCTGCAATATTTGCAGCATCGTATCGCGCATTTGCTGACGCGTCGTCGACACTGCCGCTATTTTCACCTTCGCTGACGTACACATTCTCGTCTTCGTCATCATCGTCGCCACCATCACCATCGCGCCCTCCACCAAGCCTGGGTCGCAGGACGATGAGGAGAGCAGGGAGATTATATCAGGAGGGGGGCGCAGCAGCAGCATGGGCAGCGGAGATGGAGGCGAAAGAGGATCATGCAGACAGACGGGAGGAGGCGCGGCAATAGGAGGAGGGGATAGGACTTTTGTGTCGCGCGGAAAGCAAGTCAGCCAACAAGTAGGCCACCGAGTGAGTACGCAGGTCAGTGAGCCGTCGATGTTCCCGACGACGGTGGTGGATCCGATAACAAATCTCGCGTCGTCGACTCCGACGGCCCCAGTTCCGACTCCAGCCCTGGCTCCGACGAATATTCCTACAACGACTCTGGCGGCGACGACGACAACGACGACGACGACGACCGCGACGACGACGGGGCCAATGAAAACGGCAGAGACTCCGACGACTCTGACTCCGCCGTCCACTCCGATAAATCTGACGACGGCGACACTGACGCAAACGACGACGATTCCGATTTCGGCTCCAGAGGCAACGACTCCGACAACACTGATTCCGACGGCGACGACGACAGCTACGACTCCGAGGACTCCAACCAACTCGACGCCGACCACAACCATCCCGCCGACGACTCCGATTCCTACGACAGAGGCCCGACGAGGACGGCGACTCCGACGACTCGAAACGCCATCTCCCGTCCCGACGTCGACGACGAAGATGGCTACTACGACGCCGATGCCCCCCGCGACTCCGAACGCTCTGATTCCGAAACCAGTAAAGACGACACCGCCGACAGCAACATCTCCGACTCTAACGATTCCGACGACGACTCGTCGGAGTCGTTTTCGGAGTCGTCGAAATTGAGCCGTCCTTTCCGTCGTTCGTCGGGGCCGTGGTCGAACTCGGCGTCGTAGGAATAGTCGAAGTCGTGGTTGTTTTCGCCCTTGCGGGCGTCGTCGCAGTTGTCGTCGGAGGCGTCGTCGGCGTCGAAGTAGTCGTTGTCGTTGTTGTCGTCGCAGTAGTCGTCTGAGTCGTCGGGGCGGCGGTCGTCGTCGGACTCGTCGTCGTCGCGGTCGTCTCCGTTGTCGGCAATGGTCGCGGTCGTCGCGTTCGGTGTCCAGGTCGTCGCAACCTCGACGTGGCAGTCGGAATTGTCGGCGGAGTCGTTGGACACGGAGTTTCAGTCGGAGTCATCGTCGAAGCCCGCGTTGTCGTTGGCGTCGTCGTCGGACTCGAGGACGAAAGCGTCTTCCCGCCGGCTATGCTACCGTGGATCTGCCCGCCCCAATCGCCAAATACTTATCACGACTGGGCGATTGGGCGCCGCGACAACAAGAATACCTCGCTGCATCCTGCTCTGAAATTCCTTGGAATCTCATGGCGAAGCCTATGTCGTCAGGGGGTGGGTGCCCATGGGGGCACCACTCATCCTTATGACATA